CCAGGGGTGTCGAGTGTCGGTGGCTACCTTATCCCACCGGACAGCCTGTCAAGCTTCGTTATCATCTTACACGCACGCTACGCCCGTAACGACGATATATCTAACCTCCGTCGATGGACATTCCAACGAACCTCCGCGTTATGATTCACCCTTTCTCTCTTCTCATCGATCTTCATCCTCTTCGAAGCTCCGTCTCTCTTCGTTCCACAGCGCCGACTCGTCGTGTGCGTGTAAATTCGGTAACGATAGATTTAATCGTGGTCTCCGACTCGGTGGGACAGGTTGACCCGCGAGTTAACTTTGGAGATGCGAAGGATGGAGCGCCTTCTTTGCGAGTCGGTGATCTTAATTTGATAGTGAGTCATCAGCGTTCGGTCGGATAGAGGACTTTGACTCCATCCGTGTTAATGTACATTCCACTTGAAACTCGTAGGGGTTTCGGGCTTCCATCGAGTCGGTACACACCTGGGTGTTTTCATCGAAAGGGAACTTACCTAATACAGGCGCAACCTAGCCGAGCTATGCTCTCCGTGGGCTGGACCACGCATTCCGCCATCACTAGTAACAATTGCTTCAGCATCAGTGTCGTGGCTGGTAGGTAGGCATCGTTCCTTACGACCTCGTGTCCTAAAATTCGTCAGTAAACCCAAATCAGACTGTCGCTCTTGTCTGTCCTATCGCGTACTCTTTTAAATTACCTTGCAAGTGGGTTAGATAATCGACGACCAGGTCCGTGGTGAGTCCACAGCACTGTTTAAAGTTAGGCACAAAGTTGTCCCATCCTCTCAATATCTTGGACGTCCTCCTCAGCCAGTTCTGCACCATAGGCAGAAGCAAATGATTGACGCAGTACAACCCAAACATGGGTCCAGGCACGTTTAACGTATCCCTCAATAAATGGAACAGGGTTTCCAGAGTGTGAGGCTGGTAACGTTTAGGACAAATCATGGTAGCACTCGCTAGACCCTCGATCAATATGTACCAGACCCTCAAAATACCGCTAGGCTTGTCCATACTTTGCAGAGTGGTGATGGTATGAACATTATCCATGAGAATGTCGTGTGGTCTCTCAGGAATAATCTCCTGAATCGATTCGGCGTGCTTGTCGAACCTGATCAGCTCCGAGTTGGGTACCGTGGGGTCCACGTATTGGGGAATAGTCGAAACCTGGATTCTTTGAGCAGAGTGGAAGATCGGGCAAGCTGGCATGCCGTACATCGACGCCAAGATGTCGCTGCAGCTCAGAAGATACTTCAGACTTTCGACGCAGAGTCTCATCCTACGGGACTCCGCGATATCGATCTGATCCTGGTCATCCTGATGACCCTCCGTGTCACCGCTGCCACGCACGTGTTTCAGCAGACACAGTATGCAATCTAGCGCTGCATTCGCGAAGACCAGCGTATTGTCCGTGGACAGAAAGACTCTGAATACCTCCAGCAGCGGAGCAGACTCGACGGAATCTGAATTACCGACCGAGGCTACGCGTAAGGCCCCGAATAGAGGGCGCCAGCCTGAGCGAATCTCGGTCGTGTTGGTCTCGACGAACTCGCAGATGCAACTGACGATCTGGAAGAAATTTATTATGCTGTTCGAAGCGAATTAAAATTTTACGAAGATGGTGGATCACTCACTTGATCTTGAACATCACTGTCGCAAAGTTCTAGGCACAATAAATTCTCGAAAGGCTTGAATAGAGCTTCGTTGAAGTGAAAATGGGGTAACTCGACTTGTTCGTTGAGCAAAGCTGCCATGGAGTCGTGAATGCACTGCACTGCTTTCTTCGAAATACCACGGTCCTTGTGGCAAGCTGCCTCCATGAAGTGTGGCCCTAGGATACTCCAAACCTGGAAAATTTCAGATTTTTTAATTTCTAATGACACCTTTTACCCCGTGACGAAACTTCGAGGAAGCTTTTCTCACCCTCATTATGTGGATCAGGGGTCTTCCACTCTTGACGCATTTCAACATAACTTCCCCTAGTCGAGCTAGGAGCAATGCATTCATTTCGTTTTCTCTGGGTTTGCTTTTCCTCCACCAGAACCTCTTATTATTTTTGGAACCGTCTGGAGTCTTAAACAGCTGAGCTTTGCTTGCCTTGCAGAGCGCAGTCAGGAACAAACAGAGTGCTTTAAGGTTCAATTTCAGTGCAGCGTTTTCGAACAACCTGTCCACTTGTTGGGATAAAACGCAGATTATTTTTGCTGCGTAATCTGCAGGAAGAATGCCATTGAATTGGCTGTCTGCGTTCGATTCTTGAATTATTTCTGGGATCGTGTCCGTGTTGATGCTATGCGTGTACGGACTGGATAGAAAACTGTAAACGTCGACGCTGAAAACGTTAATTTTCTTTCATTAACAAATAATCCAATAGGCTTGTCAAGTATCAACTGCCAAATATTTTATAAATGAAGTTTTACCAGGTCTCCTCCTCTTCAGCGATGTTGAAATTAAGCTTCAGTTTATCCTGACTTCCTTTGGGGTCTCCATTCGGTGCATCCTTCTTCTCTTTCTTCTGTTGAGTCTTGGGCAGAGATGGATTCTGATTTCTCCCGAAGAAATCGTGTTCCAGTTTGCTCACGTACAAACAACACCTTTACGAAACACCAAGATACTTTATCAGCTTCAAAGGATACTTGATAAGCGATTAGGAAAAATTTGTATGGATGTCTCACGTGAAAACATGAGGCCAGCAATCGCTACCATGACTTCCAAGTTCTAAACCCCTGCCCAAGAGGACATCCATGCTCAGGGCGTGTGACGTATGAATATTGGTCGCCCTATTTTGCAACTTTAAGCGTAGAACATCTTTCGTCCTCGTGATCTTCGAGATAGACTGTTCCGTGCAGGCTGCTTTGACTAGGAGAGCAAAGATGGAACCACAGCGATTCTGCAGACCTAATTGTGAAAAATGAACTCGTTTAAAAGGAAAAGTACAAGCTGAAGATCTAATAATTGATCGAGGTGTGATATACCGACCGAGTATGTTGCTCAGAATCGCAGCCTTGTGAAGACCTTCCAACGATAAGATCACGGTGTCTCTTATACCTCGTCTACCACCGTCTCTGTTTAAAATTCCTTTGTTGTTCTGTTCCTTAGGAGGATTCAATCCTGTCGTCAAGACAGTCATCATACTTCCCCAGCAACACGTCAACACTCTTCTGGAAAGCTTCGCCCCAGCCTCTGCTTCGGGAGTTGGCTCGCTTCGGGACAGCTGAGCTTTCTCCAGTCTGATATAATCGGACAAGAGCTGTCCACCTCTTTGGCTTCCAGGAATCCCGTCAACATCTTAGAAAAATGAATTTCAATTGGCAGCCAGGCTTTACAGCATTCTTCTTTGCATTGCAGAAAATTTATTTACCAGTTAACACGTTTATCAAAGCATTGTTCTCCGTGTAATGCGAATTGTAACCACATTTCTCGAGCAGATTACAGGCCAACACTTGTTGATACAGCTCGGACAACCAGGTTGCTGAGAGGTAAACCAGAACTCCAGATCCATGCACTTCCTCCACGAATTGTTCCTGAAGAATCGGACAAAATCTTTTCACAAATCACGAAGATCGCAATAGGAATGTTCAAGCAAGCATGCACGTCGTTGGTACCTCGCTGATGGGAACCTGTCGATTATCCTCGTGGTAGTAATTAATCCTAATCAACTTCAAGTTCAACAACAACGCTGCATAGGTGGCCAAGTAAATTCCATCAGCGTTCATAATCGTAATCAAGGCACACGAGTCTGTACTGGTGTCCGTTTGCTCCTGCATCTTTTGCTGAGCTGTGAAGACCCCTGCGAATGGTAATGGGTATTTCCTTATATTTTAAACAAAGATATCTCTGTATTCCTTGTATAAGATTACCGTACCTTGACAGTATTCCGAAGCAAAGTTCTGTAAAGCTTCGTCGACTTCTATATTGCTTCTGAGGCTCAACATCATGGGGATCAAGTCGCACTTCAGAGTCCTGACGAATTTCCTGGCATTGTGCCTTTCCATATCTACGTTGCATTCATCGGCCACCTGACGACCCACGTGAAGACACTTTGGTAATTTTTCTAGTCTTAACCTTTCTCTTTCGTTCTCTATAGCATAGTCGTTGTCTTCCAGGCTATTCTCCTCTTGGACCTCGTCGGATTCGTTCTGTGGCCCTTCCGTGTCCGTTGAATCGCCATCCTCCGATGGACCATGTCCCGAAGAGTCAGAGTCAGAGCCTATTCCCTTCTTCATGAGCTCCAACTGTTCTCTAGAGACAAATTACCAGAGATTTTTACGGATATTCGTTACCGATCCTGCCGACAGTGCCATTATTCATCTATGAAGTAACTTCGACAATGTACGGCTTATCCGAATTAATTAAAGATTCACCTGTAGGTTTTTGGCAACCGTGCCATGCTCTGATAAGTCAAAGGACCCTTGTAATCGCAAGATTCCAGGTCTTCGTACAAACTATTGATCGTACACGTATAGGTATGATTAATAGCCTTCCCCTCGCATAATTCCTGAAGAGCAGACAGCATTGCAACTACACACGACACGCTGGCATGCAACGTACTCAAATTACCAGTTGTCGACTCCTCGATGGAATCCATCGCTCTGTAATGTAAATTATCCTCGCTATCCTCGCCTGGCTTAAACCTTTCGCTTAGTATAATCACTTACAGTCTCATCAAAGCCATATCACTCTGAATGTGACTGCATTTATCTTCTTCCACCAACAACGGACCAGTGAAGTCGACCATCCTACTAGGACTTCGCAGGAGCTCTTTCAAAGCTTTCAAAGGCTCTAAACGTTGCTGGAGTGGAGGATATAGCAGCATTCTATGAAATACTGACTCCAGGACTGAACGAAGGGGACCAACGCAGCCTACCAATCGAACCAATTCCGTTCCGATGCTTTGAACATAAAAATTGATTTTCAGGTAAAAATTTATTTTCCATCTTGCAACATGTATATCTAAGTTTACGTACTTGTAGACAGTCTTCGCCTGGTGACTATCAAAACTCAACGACGTGGCCAAGTATCCAGATCCTCGTCCAATTTCGTTCTCCTTTCCCTCCCTGGAGCTGAAGGTCTTATCGACCCGCGGAGTGCCTAGAAAAGCTATCAACGCTGGACAGAATTTCTGCCAGAGGAAGGTGGTAAAGTGTGCGTTCGTATGGATTTTCTGTGGCAGGGAGGAGATTAAAGTGTGCAGACATTCCAGCAGAAACACCACGGTATTCCCGTTTCTTCCATTACTGGAATAGAATTTTCTAAAGTTACATGTACATTTCGGTTAAAATTAATTTCTGTATCTCTCACTTTTGAGCTTCGTCCAACTTGCTGCAGATGTACTGAAGTATCGGCAGGGCCTCGTTGAAGCAAGATACGCCTCTCTCCCATAAATTCTTGTTCTTCTTTGCATTCTCGTCCATTTCTTGGCATTCCTCGTCTGTCACGAGAAACTCTTCGTTTCATTACATTTCCGCGTAAAGGGAGAAAAAATATTCGAGAAAGTGTTTCGGAGGAAATCGTTCGATGATCACGGAATTCGCGAAGAACATTTCACCGGTCACGCGAGCGTAACATTTATTGATCAAACTTTCGTTGAACCCGACGATCCAGCGTGTGAAAAATTTCGCGAGAGCAATCACGAAATCTTGGCACGCGCTGCGAATGTTAATAAGGAAGGAAATTACCTAGGAAGAGGCAGAAAGATCTCAACGTTTGACTGGTTGCCGCTTGAGCAGCGGTCCTCACCGCTTGGTTCCCATTTTCGAAAGCCTCGCAGCAGGTAGTGAGAATGGCGATTATCAGACGACCGTTCATTGTCCAATAAGAAGAACAGGCGACTTGTAACAGAACCTATGGAAATTGAAGTATGAAATGAAAATATGGAACATCTTTCAGTGAACTTTGACGAATTTTGATTAAACTCAAGCTTACTTTCAGCATATCCGTCTGCGTATCGTCCGATTGTGATAACATGGAACTCATCGCGTGCAACATTTGCGCGGGTAGCCAGAGGGAATCATCTTCTGGCTCGTAGGGTGACTGGAATCTGTCATCCCTTAACATTCTCTAAATGCAAAACATTCTTGTCAACTACGTATAATTTATTGCATAGGATTTGGTAAAAATATTTGAAATAACTTTGAAATTATATTAATCTTTCATCGAGAAGAATGTACTGCGACGTATATGATGTACGAGCACTGCGAATTAAAACGAAGGATAACAGAAGAATAACTCGTTAAAACCTGCTCGAAAGTGTTATAGCAGGTCGTCGATATCTTTCGTTTTATCGCGAGGTTCCTTCCCGCGAGCGGATGCGTCAATTACATGTACGCGATACTATGGTGCCGCAATATGGGTAGAAAGAGGAAAAAATCAATGGAACACTCACATGTAATCCCGATAGACCAAAGGCAACGAATTTGCTCCTCTTCGTTTCTAGTGCTAGCTGAAACGTGTGTAGACATTTTGCTCGCAACTCGTGGGGTGGATCGCGTAACAACCCTTGCTGCTTGTCGAGGAAATCTGCGAAAACGTGTTAAGCCAATTAATCTTCGTGGTAGTATTCTTTTTTCTTTCAATATGTTGTACACTTTCGTTGCAAACCGACGAGAAATATCTCGTTGATACATAGAGAATTACAATTGATATTACAGTGGTGACTGAAATGCTGTAGGGTGAGTGCAATTGTTCCAGGTGTCAGTCAGCATCGCGTAGATGGAACAAGTGCCATTACTTTGCTGTGAAATATATTTTAAGATTATGGAATCATTTAGGTTGACTCACCATACGCTTCCTGCGCCGACTTCCGCAAGTTTTGTAGTTTCGCATTGCTCGATTCTCGGACGATCTGCAGCAGGAGATCCTCCATGTCACGGTGGACTAACACGCGACTGATCGATAACGGGAGTGCCAATGCACGCTTGGCTGTACGCGCGCATCCAGGGCCGTAGAAACTGTTTCAAGCGAGGGAAGTTCATTTCCGCCTTCGAAAATTAAGCAGCTGTTGAAATCTTCTTAATGTTCCAGCTTGGTGATTTAACGACGCAAACGTATGACACATTTTTCTGTCAAGACTCTTGTTTCCTACGCATAGAAATTGCGACACATTATATGCGTAAAATTCTTTTACGATTATGGAAATATTCTGTATTTCATAAATGTGTTACAGTTGTATGTACGCTTACCACTGTCGCTATATAATTCTTTTGAGAGAATTACGATGAAATTTCATACTTTTGTCGTAACCTTTTTTGCACAAGTATCGATTAAAGCCAAACCGATTATCGAACGATCGATAGGCGTTTCAAAATCGCATGGATAATGGCGCGCAAATGTTCCACGCGGTCACGTGATTGAATTCAACCGCCTTCCAAAGATGGCGATGGAAAGTGATAAGAAGCGTAAAGGTGCTGAAAAATTGTGCCGTATATCCGTGAATTTTTACAAATTAGCAGTGGATATCATAGGTAAAAGCCTCCTCGCGAAAGATGAAGGCTAGTTGTGTGGTTTCCTGGTCAGCGTTATCATAAAATCATCTAATCTCCCGTGATAGGTTTGGCATTTGGGTTTGTCCATCGGTGGCATGTGTCTACGCTGTTCGAAAATGACCGGCATTTTTCGCATCTATCCGAGATCGAGAGAGAAATGTCCTTCCGCACGGAAATGGTACGAGATTCATACGATATCGACAAATTGATCAAATATTCGTCGGAGTAACAGGTATGTTTTGTTTACTTTTGTTCAGGGAATGTACTATTCGTATTACAAGACGATCGCAGAGTCGAAAACGTTCATGGATGGTATAAGAAAAATTAGTCACGATAATATTTCGGAATACGGGAATGTTATCAATGCGGCTAGAAAGTATAGCATTCTACCAGAGGTATCGTACAACCAGATGATGCATGTTCATCTTGGTTAGATAACAAAGGTTGAAGTGTATAAGCCAGAATTGATGATTTACAGCTAGTAATTGGACATCTTTATCATTGTGCCAAGAATCTGGGGATAATGCCTGTAGAGCAGTGTTGGCAAGTGAGACTCGATTTTGTTGGATTTGTATACAGAGTTGAGAACAAACGATACGCTATCTGAATGATATTTATTTGTGGATCTTTGTAAACGATACAGACTCTGTATGCATTAAATGTGAGCTTCATTTTCTATGGGAGATCTAGAAAAGAATCACTTTCAGGTAGATAAAGGAGAAGGCTTACCACCGGTGACCAGTTGCGAGGGTCTGAGTGTTCCAGTTTATTTTTACTTAGAAATTGTTTGGATTTCAACTATATTTACAGCAGCTATATTGTTCTATTATGCTGTGCACCTTGGCAATGGTATAAAGAGTGGAATCGTTACGATACTTTTCTTCTTTTACAATCACAATGAATGCACTCGTGTCCAATGGTCGCCACCCTTGAGAGAAAGTTTTGCATACCCTGTATTGCTTGGACAAATGTACATGTTGACTGTGATTCTTAGAGAGGGTACTGTACGTGATCCACAGAATGTGCCCAGAAATTTACTTCAGGTGTGTTGAGTTATACGATCAAATAACGTTCCATGGAACCTGGATGTCTTTGTCGTAAAATAACAAGCAATTTCATTCTTTCAGAATATGGGTTTTGCAACGGTAATTAGTTTATGTTGTTGGCAATTTTCCCATTTCGTGTTCACGACTCAAATCATTGCACTGTTGATATTAAAATGGATAAGAATAATTCCAAACAGTCTGTATAGCTCTATTTTTATAGTACACTGTTGGTCCATCGTGATAGCAATGTGTATCACGGACTTTTACACCTTATTCGACTCCCTGTACCTGTGTCTTCTACTTACTAGCAAGGCTTTGAGCTTAACAGAGAAAATGTCTCCTGTCATTGGTAAAACATTCCAAACGATTACCGAAATTGCTCTCACAATCGCGTGGACAGTGGATTTAAAGTCGTTCTGCAGCACCTTGTCCGAAGACAACGCACATGTGTTCAATTTACTTAAAGCAAAATTAACCAATTACAAAGACTTTCACACGATGCTGTACACCTGTTCCCCCGAATTCGATTTTCTCCAGTACAGAAATTACGAGTTGATTATAAAAACGTCTCTTCTACCGACTGCCATACTCGCTGGGATATTAGCGGTCTATTTCTGGTATAGGAATTACAAAATCAAAGGATACCCTAGATGCATAGAAGCGGATCTGGCTTACAACGGCCTGCAGACCGGTGCTTTCATCATCATGGCGGTTTTTATCATGAGACTGAAGCTGTTCATGAATCCCCATCTCTGTATAATAGCCGGCACGGTTTGCGCGAACAGATATCTGGAAAAATTCGGTTTAAAAAGCGAGATGACCAAGACTGCCGTTACTCTTGTATTGATATCCGCGATATCTTACCACGGATTAAAGGTACTACAGGAAGAACGAAGCGTTATAGGTAATTACCACGCTAGAGAAAAATTCAATAGTAAATAAGCTTCTTCGTTATATGACTTTTCATCTCGGTAATAAGGCGAGTACAGTAATATCGAACAAGAGGAACTATTCGAGTGGATCAAGGAGAACACGCCTGAAGACGCCGTGTTTGCTGGAAAAATGTCTTTAATGGCAAACTTGATGCTCTCTACGGGTAGGCCGATCGTCAATAACCCTTACTACGAGAGCAAAGAGATGAGGTGCATAAGCTTGCTATTCCCTGGGTTGTAAAGCGTATAAATATCTCTCTTGGTATTTGTTATCATCCGGTTTCCGTTCCAGAGATCGAACGATGAAAGTTTATGAGATCTTCAGCAGAAAAGACGTCACATCGGTGTACATCACCCTGAGGAACTTAAACGTTGGATACGTTGTGCTGGATGCAACACTGTGCTTCGGCTATGCAAATCTGTAATGTGAAATAATTTTGGAAGTCGATGGAATTAACGAGCAAGTTTCTTGATTGTCGAACAAACGAGGATTTTGTATTTCAGACCAGAAGACTGCCAGATGCTCGACCTGTGGGATTTGATAGACAATGGGACCGCAAAGGCAGCTGGAAAACGACCCTTGTGTCCAATACTGTTTCGAGGGAACGTTTATCCCTTTAAGAGGACTTTTGTAAATATTCGTTACGTCGTTCTACAGCTCGACAATTCTTATTACGTAGAGTTGAAACCGAAGAATTTCGTCGAGTATCAATCTTGAGAGTGTTTAGGTTAATCAAGCGACCGTTCAAACGTGACAAATCGAAGATACCTCGTGAGATTGCAGAGAATATTTTTCCCAAAAGAGAGGCAGTTATGTATGATACATATATATTTTCTTTTTAAAAAGAAACGACGACTCGTAAAAGTGAGCCAAAGCAATTTTGTTAAAGAGTTAGATCTAAAATGCGAATAAAGTGTTAACTACGTTCCTGTGGAGTCCAGAGCTTCGTTTTCCTACGTTCCTCTGTTTTCCTGCATCGTCGTACGTTTCACTCAAGAGCATTATAAATCAACGTCAAAGTCTTACCTATAAGTAAAACAAGACTGCTCGTTTTTGTCCAACTTTTATTTAAACAAATATAGAGGCGCGGCAAAAACGCGGCGTTTCTCGTGGCATGATAAAATCATCTAAAACGCGGCAGAATTTTTCTCTTTCTTTTTCTTTTAATGAAAGTTGGTCGAATTTCACGAGATAGTTATTAGCGCGAGAAACGGCCGAGCGTCGAATCGCGGGATCGCAAGAAGAATCGAACCGCGCCACGAAGATAGCTCCGTTATAGAAACACACGGCACTGCACCTTCACTTCGCCGTGTAACAGATAGTATAGTCGGAGCCCTGCCTTCGCTATACTACGTTGTGCTGCTGACCCAAATGAATCCTATGGCCAGTCAGTCCCGGTCCGGGCTTCTTCGCGGCAATATTGCTCGCTCGATCACAGCTGGTACCGTGTAAACGTGTTCGTCCTTTTCGTTGCAGGTTGAACGACAGCTGCAAAAATTCCGCTCATTGATCATTCGTATGTGTCGACTGTCGATCGTGGATCTCGTGACAGAAATTCGCGATTTAATTGGAAAACATCGGCGCCCATATTGCAGCGGAAACCCGATGGTCCAGTGAAATTTTAAGGGTACCCTAAACAGTGAAAGTTTCGAATCGATCGATATATCCGAAGCAAACACGAGGATTGTCCTGCGCGGTCCATTTTCGAAAAAAGGGGAAAAAATGGTCCACAGTGTTTGGTCTCCGTATACCACGAAGAATCGATAACCGGTGCGGCGATTAGTTTGCGTACCTTTTTTTTTTTTTTTGGCGGGAATTATTTTTTTCTCACCCTTTTCACTTCTTTCTTCCTCTCTTTTTAATCGGGTACCAGAGTATTTTTGTTCTAGTGTAAGTTATAACGGAAAGTGTAACAGAAAATCATTTCCTGGATTAGAAGTGATCATCGGTAGCTAGACACGTCGAGCGATCTTTAGAATAATCGTTGACGCGATACTTGGAGCAGAACAGAGGAGGCTGAGGATGCCAGAGGCGGAAGCAAAAACGTAGAAATCGCGTCGCACCGGCTACGAGGATCCGATTGATCGAGATCGCGCGCATCCGCAGGCTCTGAATAGCGATGCGGTTGCATTCCACGGCAACGATAGTTCCGCATAATCACTGACACTCTGCAGTGAGTACCAAATTATATTTTTTTTTCCTTTTCTTGCTACTTTTCTTGCTACATTTCTTGCTACTTTTCTTACAACTTTTCTTCCCACTTCCCACTTTTCGTCCCCATCTTTTTTATCTTTTTCCCTTTTTTTCCGATCATCGCAAGCCAACGACGGAAATGATTCGCAGAATATCAAGGACATCTCCGCCTCGCGTCCTTGCGTCAGCTTATGGACGGTGCATTAATTCGCTCAATGAGCATAACAATGTAAATGCAGTTCTCAATCGGATACGGCGACCCCGGCACTATAATTTCGAAATTATGCTCGTTTCACGGAGAAATGCTAATTTGCTCTTATTCCGAGATTCTGATTCGCAGGATGTTACTCTTTTAGCTTCTGCTACAATCTAATTCCTCTCTGATTAGACCCCGATTAGGGTCTAACGAGGCACGCTTCGAATTCGGATTCCTCAAGAATAACAGCGTGCATTTCGCCAAGAGTACGAGGAAGTAATCAAACGTTTCTGCTGGCTCTCGTTACGTAGGAGAGACAAGTTCTTTCTTACGGTACTGTCCCACGCGAGACAGCGAATTATTCCGGTAAATTATATTCTTATCCTATTTTTCTACTAATATCCCATGGTTTTGACCTAAAGACTTGCGAGTAGGTGTTACGTAGTCCCGTGAAAATCATCGATCGTTCTACATCGGCATGGAGGAAAGCGAAGATTCTGTGGACGAAGAAGAGATTCCTAGTTGGCGAAATAGCCGTTCTTCCCTGACCTCGAAACCACACGGAACATAGACAGCGCGGTTACGTTTGGCCGAGGAATTTGGCACGCACGTACCCGACAGTGGCTCGAGCTGCAAAAAGTATCGATGCATCGAGCACTCGAAGCCGTACAGAGGCCGTCCTGAATCTTCGGAGACGGTGGACGAAGCGGCGAAGGCACGTCGCGCCGATAATGTGATCGTTGATGCAAACCGGCCGCGCCTAATCTTTCTCGACGACACGACAGATCGACTCTCGGTTACTTTCTCGCCGGTATTCGTAACCCACTTTTGTCCCACGATGCAGTCACCCCGTGTGCCTGTGCCAACGACTCGAATTAGAAGGGTCTAATTCGCTAGAATTATCTCGGATCGAGTCGCAGCTACCGTGCGATTCGTCTGCCTCAACTATGGATGCTGATATCCGATCCTCTGATTCACCCGCGCTTTAATTTCTTCGAACGTTCGTCTTGACCGATTGCTCGGTTCTCTCCTCACCTGTACTTCGATTCGTTCGATGGACAGAGAAATTCTTTGGAAACCAGTTTTCGCCCGAACGGCCGAATTCAGAAACGTATGCGTGCCTCGCGTACGTCGATCAAGCCGTACACCTCGGCCTCTTCTCGTTTTACTCCGACAAACGGAATTCCTGCTCGAAGGATCGTGCATAACCATCGTGTGAATTGGTTTCAAGGTGGAGGCCACGAGTCCTTTCCAAGCCCAAGAGGAGACAGAGGCATTCCTTCCGCGAGATAAAGAAGCATAGAGGAACGGGAGACACAGTGCAAGAGTGGGCGACAGAGTTTCACATGACCGAGTTAGAGCATCCAGTTTTGCCGGGGGCACGTTACTCGTGACACTAAATATCGTTTTCACGTAGGCCGGCTGATTGCTCGACAGAGAAGCCCTAATTGGCCAGAGGTCACAATCATGAAACGTAATTTCATCCTACTAGAGGTAATTGCGGGAATTGCCGTTCCCTGGGCTTCGCGAATACCGCCTGTGATACTCGAAATTGAATCTCGAACGGCTACCGATAAATTGCAGCGCAAAGGAGTTTCAGGAAGTTAAATCTACCGGGCAAAGTTCCTCGAGGATAGTGTAGATGGAGCAGGATAGCTGAAACGAAAACGAGGGAATTATTTTTGATCGTCTGGCTCAGACCAGGTCACTTAATGCGTGTTTACGGTGTTTAAACGCCTGGCTACTTGCCGTACGAGGTATTTTAGCACGACGCCTTTCACGATCCGGAGAAATTGATAGGCGTCTTCGACTGACTATCACGTGATTCGGATTTGCTACGCCTCTTATGCCTGAACTTCGAGATAACAGCAACGAGTCTAACGTGTTTGCACTTTGCTCGATTTCCCGGTTTGTCGATTTAGTTCCTAGCTGCGAGAACGTGGACAGATTCGAGAGAGGAATTTTGTTTTGTTAGAACTGGTTCCACCTTGGTCAGAATAGGGTCAAGCCTGGCAGATATTAGCGTCTTCCTCGATGATCTCATGTGGCTTCGCTGCGACGAGAGCTTTTTTCTGACCTTGCCCGATGCTACACCTCCCAGCATTCCAGCCTAATCGAACGACACACCTCTCACCACAACGTCTCGTAATCCGTGGACCAGCACACCGGTTAGAAACGTGTTCCTCTATCTGTGTGCGCCGCGATCCTCGTGATTAGGAAGCGATGGTCAGCAGGAACGTCAGGCTATATAAATTGCTTGTTCCGTAAACTGGTTTTCTCTTTTTCCTCCCTCTTCTTTCTTCTTTTATTTCTCCTTCTTCATTTTTTCAACCTGGACGGATGTCCGAGGAATTCCGTAGGAATCTTATCGTAAGAAGAAAAGGAATTCGAGTCCTTTTAGCAGCCCCTGGCTACCTTTGGATCGTGTCTTGGATAACTTTTCGAGAGTTTGTTCATTTTCCGAGGAAACGGAGATTCGAGGGACGACACGAGGACAGGGACGTTTTGTGCGGAAAGTAAACGAAAATGTCGAGTCACCTGCCGAAATTCCTGCGAAAGTAAATCCTTTTTATGACATTACCATACAGCCGCGCACGTTTCTGTGGACTTTCTTCGCCGTAACCTACTTCCGGCAGAAACAGCAGGAAGAATGACGTTCACATCGGGCAAAAGAGCCGAGTATAATAGAGACAAGATCTTCAGACTGGTTTCTTCGAACGACATTGTTATCAGTGGAAGGAAAATTAACCTGGTTTCCGTGACTTTTCTACTTCGAATCTAATTTCACTCCGTCCAAACGTCACCCGAGGTGTTACAGCAACCGAAATACCTTCGCGAGGTCTCTCCATCCACTCTCTTGGACCACTTCCTGCACGAGGGATCGAGATCTTCCGCCTGCCTGTAATCGGACCGTATCTCGACGCGAACATTCGAATATATTTCCGCGACGGAAACGGAAGACTTCTTATTCATTCCGATCGTTCTAATCGAGAAGCTTTGAAAATTCAGTTCCCAGTTGCCTGTGCTCGTTAGCTCCCCGTGAAAGTGCACAGTTTCGGAACGAGGAAAGAGGCGTTTGGCCGCTCGGAAGTACAGAAGATCAAAGATACATATTTATAATTTTCGATCGATAATGCGTTCGAGATAAGGACCACGAGAAAGTAACAGGCCGGGCAAAGATTTCACGAGCCATTCGCCTGTTATTCGCGTGTTTCCATTCGTTCCCGGCTGCCCGCCGGATCTTTCTTTTTTTAGAAACCTCCACGACCCTGGTAAATTCTTTGCCCGGCCGGAAAGAAATTGCCTCCGAAGAGCCTTCGGTTGACTGACAGCCCCGGAGAGAAATTTCCTCGTCGCGTAACAATCGCTGCAAATGTCTCGCCGAGGTAAAACGATCAAGCTCGCGCGCGATATTGCGGTGAAAAAGTTCAATCGACTTGTGATAAAGTCCACGAGAATTTGCGCAACCGAGCGATACTTCTCGCCTTCATCCTGGCAATTTTCAATCCTTCAGCTGTAAAACTGTTCTTATTTTTCCAGAGCCACGTACGTAGCTAGGGATATCCGTTTTTCCAACGAGAATATCGGCGAGCGAAGTAGCGGAGACCGGTTCATCCCGATGAAAATTGGAGTGGAAACGTGCGATCTTTCGGAATTCGCCGAGTCGACTCGGTTCCAATAATAAATTAGACCACGGTTCGCACGCGGAATAGAAAGTTGCAGAGCGGCCGGTGCAGGCGAAAGAAGCGACCAGAGGCAGAGCCCGTGGCTGAATACCCAGAAGGAGGAAGAAAAATCGCGATACACGGGTCTCCCCTCGATGCATCTTCTCCTCGGTTTACCTTCTTCTCTCTCTCTCGTCGTTGACATTTTGTACGTGAAACCAGCCGTGTACTTCCTCCTTCCCGCGGTAATAACTTCGTTGATTAGCAATCATTCCCGCCATTCTTCCTCGAGCACGAGGATGTAATAATTCGACGCGTACGACGCTAATTGCGAGAGCTTTCATCGAGATTAAGGCATTGCCACTCTCACTGACGGGAACCTTGCTCTCTGAATCGCCGAGGAAACCAGCGATTCCCTTCAGTCTACGTAATTTCCCTCGCGTTTTCTTCTCTTCTCTCCTCTCCTCTCTTCTCTTCTGGCCCCTGCTTTCCTCTCGATTCGTCGATCGCTGTGTGTCGCTTTTCGGCCAGCTAAGCCGTGATCTCTCGAGATCTCGTTTTCTTTCCAAACTGGGACAGATCGAGGGTATCTTAACGAATAGTTTGCCCGGTTCGTTTTATCGCTCGTAAACTTCGTTCCGTTTCCTAGCGAACTACTGCTGGCAGAGGAGATCGAGACGGACGATTAGCGCGAAATTACTTCGCGTGAAGAACGTAATTGGTCGAATCGAAGTGATTCCATTTCGTCTGCCTCGATCCTCCGAGTCTCGCAGGAAATTCTGTACTTTCCCCGCGGATCAACCGAAAGGACTGTTAATCTTTGAAGCGTGGGTGTTCTTCCGCCTATTAGAACGTACATCCTTCCTCGCGACTGGTTTGCTATAATCGCTGACAAAGCGGCGTGGTTTCGTTTCAGAGATGCGAAGCGAGGTAGGAGAATGGCTGCCCACCTGCGTAGGTTCTCCGATATGCATCCTGCTGCTATCCTGGTCGCTTCTGATCTATCAGAACCAGCCATCGTCGGCGAAGAGGAAGGTCGACGTGTTCACGGTAGCCATCCTCTCGCAGAGTTTGGTCCACCAGCTGGGACTGCTGTTCTACGCCATTCTTACGCTCATTCGACCAAGTAATCACTTCGGAGGTAACGAAACAACGAACCATAGTATCTTATCTGCGGCTCTATCGCTGAGTTAGAGGCAGAAAGACATGGGTCTGGCTGCGGAGCAAGTGATCTGCTGTGATCGGAGACCAATCGAAGCTTTGTCGGTTCACAGAATTCTGCTCGACCCTGGTTTGGATACTAAACTCGTCCAGCATCCTGCAGGAGCTCACCCTGACTTCGATCGCGATCTTCACCGCGATCAGCATCGGGGACGAGGCTGCGAATCTCACGAAGAATCACCTGAAGTATCACCTGGTCAGTCTGAGCGTGATCAGCGCCTGCGTTGGTGTCACTGGCGTCCTCAATTTCGAGCCGGATCACTGCGTCTTTCTGGCTCAAGAGATCTCCCTGAAATATGGAGTCTTTGTCAACTCTCTGCGATGTCTCTTGGTAGCGACGTCCGTGATCAGTGTGCTGACAGCTTTGATCAGGACCATCTGTCGCACGCCAAAGGCCGAGCTCTTGAAGTCGGTGTCGGATCTGTCGGAGACCAGCTCGAAAAACTCTTCCGGGGCGTTCGAGTGTCACCCTCAGCACTGGGATCCCTCCAGTGGATCCTGCACCAGTGGATCCACCAATAGCAGAGCTTGTCTGAGGAAGAAGAGGGTCCAGATCGACGAAGCCAGTGGAAAATCGACCATCTACAGTATTCTCTTCGCCTGCTACGTTTTCCAGTACCTACCGATTCTGGTGAATATTTCTCCGTTCTTCTTTTGGAATTTTAATGTAATTTTAAACTCTTTCTGCGAGTTTCTATCGAGGAATGTGGAAAGTCTTTTCGTTTTTCCTTTTTTGATTTAATTATTAGGGTATTTCTCGTGGAAGCGGTGAACGTTTAATGAATGGTCTCTATTTCATTGATCGATGAGAATAACGAGAGTTGGGCTATCGACCATAAGAGACGGATTTCGTAATAAGCACGAAATTGCAGCTGATCAGCGAACCGCAGCAGTGTTACAGGACTAAAACCCTCGGGTCTAATTTATTTCCGATTATCTTTCACGCGCGATTAAAAAGCAACAATTACACGGGCCTGCTTACTAACTTAGTTCATTCGTTAAATTAGCACGATAAATCGCTATGCGATTATAGCGATTGTTTTATAAAGATATACCTCGTCGCGTGACACACGAGTCACGCAATTGCAACCGTTTGCTTTCCTCGATATTAAAAAGCGATCTAGTCGATAGTACCACTGGCTAGCTCTAGATATCGGAAACGTTTGAAAAGATATGTCTCCTTTTGTATTATTCGATCGCGTGGATAGCAAGGGTTACCCTTGAAAACAGGAACCCAGCTCGAGTTCGCGTCCTCCGGAAGTGAACGAATCACCGGTTTTATTCTTTCTCCTGCACCGGAATTCCGTTCATCAACGAGAAAGTCGGCACGCCGAAAGAGGAAGACAAACGAACAACTGATACTTTTCTTTCATATCGAAGCATGCGTAATGCTTTATCCAATGTCATACGAACACGTTCGATAGAAGAAAGCGCGAAAGTTGTGTCGAATTTCACGCCAATGCAGCCTGTAGAAAATTTACTGTCGCTAAAAGTCCGATTCATCTTTGTATAGCTTATCGAAGGACAATCGATTAGAGTAGCAGAGTAACCTCGCAAATTTAACCCCTTCGCTTACGATATCGTGTGAGACTCGTGGTAAGGAAATCGGGACAAACACGAATATCACGAGTAAGATACGTGGTAAGGAAATCGGGCCAAACTCGAGTATCACGAGTGAGATGCGTAGTCTGTAGGTAGAGTTGAACGTAAACAATACGGGCTCGAGGTTAATTTTCGTCGACGCGTTATTCTTCGTCACGTTCGGACAAAATTCGACGTGTGATCGTTAATCTCTGTCAATGTTTTCCTGTCGATACGAGTTGAAACTTGTCAGTTGCCTGTTATTCTTTGCCGCGTTCGGACGATGTAACTCGACGTGTGATTGTGTGACTTTGCTGTTCGATTATGGCACGCGCCTTCGGAACTTGAATCGTAAGGTAAGAGATTAAGCAACTGTTCTCGAGATTTGGGAAGGGTAGGTGACTACGGTGAATTTTTCACGAGGTGGTTAGAAATCCAATTATCGTTTACCTTCGATTTTTCATCCACACCAGCTTGTCCCAAGCTGTGTGGCCCATTTTATCTTTCGGACAAGTACCTGGTGTCCTGTGGTTAGTCACGAGTGATGAGTGGTGGTTACTATCGGCGGTCGACTTCCTCCAAATTCATTTCCGACCACTTGGAGAGTTCTTCCAGGGACGTGTCTGAAGGATCCTTTCATAGACAGGGTCACACCTATCTCTAGTGAGCGCGTTGTCATTTTGATCCTAGCGAACTGATTCTAGGGATCCCTATGGATCCTATTACCGTGCATTCTAGTAACTTTTTAACAGAGGAAAGCAAGCGGTAGTTCCATCGATTAAAGAAGTAACGGAAATCTAAAAAGAGAATAGAAAAAGCGTGGCAAGAAGGAAAATTTCACGGATGGAAAAAGTAGCACAGGCGAAACAGGGGAATGTAGAACTATGAGAGAGACAGGATGGACGTTAAAAAAAATGGCAGCGGTAGAAACGTGGCTACGCGATGAACTATAGCTGAGAGAACGAGCAGCAACATCATAGACGACCGATAGCGCGTGTATTCGAAAGTGTGAGCTTAATATGGAAGACGACCTCGATATCAGACTCGATTAAGATTCGTCTGATGGCAGCTCATCGTCGGAGAAACTTCCCCCTGACCTTCCTCATTAATATTTATAATCGCCCGTGTGACGTATCCCGTTCATTATCGCCGCGACCAACGCTGAATTAGGTTGCTCCGATGCAGGCATCGAAATCTCCTTCATTCATGCCGCTCCCCGTCATTCCTGCGAGCAGCAACTCGACAAGCGCATCCATCTTCTCGCTTCCGCTTCATCCTCGGCCCATAAAAAGCCATCTTCATTCACGAAAACGATCCTCGAAACGCGCCTGAAAGCCTGAAAAACGGAATTTCGTTCCACCGGTACATCCAGCTGAGACCATTCAACGACCTCCTTTCCGACGTTCGCCAGCTACCGATGATATTAATATGTTAATTCGCCGCCATTGCCGTAGGAATATTCGCGGCGTGCCGATTTTACTTTTCCCATTAACTCCTGCGTTCGCATCCCGCGCGCGTTATGTAAACACGTGGACGATGTAAATTAGAAATCGGCAAAGCATAAATCGAGGCCCCGTCATCGTCCGCGCGTAAAAGAAGCGTTACAAGCGTGTTTCGATCTCTCGAAGCTCGCGCTCTCCGAAACGAACGTGAAACGACGGCGAGTCTCGCCGGCACGAGGAAATGCTCGTTTTCACGATGACTCGGAAGCGTAAGCGATTACCAGCGGCGACACTGGCACAGAATAAACTCCAACTTTCAGACCTTCGATCGCTTTTTGCTCGCGCTGCACTTTCCTTTCGACACCCCGTACGATCGCGCGAGCAAATCGCTGTCAACCGAGTCGACCTCGATCAGCGTGAAAGCCAGAGATACAGCACGCCGGCGTCGCTCGAACTCGCTCGAACTCGCTCGAACTCGCTCGAATTCTAGGCGACGCGAGCACCGTGACGATCCCGCGTTCTCCATCGGACAATTAAAAGCCGAGGCCAGATCCTCGCAGGGGGACCCGCGAGGGATTCCGCGCGAGTCGTGGCTGAAATTGATCGGAGAAACTCGCAGAATAGGCCTGTGATGGTAGCGCGGCGGAAAGTGGAAGGAAAAAGCGAGACAGAGCGCGCTGCACGCGCGTGGACAACGGTGATTACGCGTTGAATACGCGAGGAGTATTCTTCGAACGATTCGGAGCAGAAAATCTGTTGCACGAGATTGCGCGGCAGTAATTGCCGGGGTAATCACCAGCACTGTGGGCGTGATCGAGAAACGAGCCTCTAATCTTCGCGGAGACTTTCCTCTGTGTTTCGTAACGAAAACTCGTGGAAATCGGGAGGAATCTGGCTGTCGGTTTTGACTCTAGATTGCCTTTCGGTGGTCACGGTGCCGCGAATATGGCCACGAATCTGTCCGCGTGTGTCACGCACCACGAGTTATTCTCGTCGAGGGTAGGCTCGATGTTATCTGCGGTCCATGTAGACCAGTTTTGTCAAACTCGCGCTGGAATATCGCCAGTTTTAGCGACTCTGAGAGCCACAAACACGGACAATCGTCGAAACAAATGTTGGCGAGCGAGGGAAAAAGTCATTTGAAAATTGGGCTCTTTTCTTGCTATCGTGCAACGAATTTCGGTAAAATCGAGCACCGCGATTCTATAAAATTTCCAACTTCGTGCCAATTTTGAGGTCAACGCCGTTATACATATTTACTCGCAGATCTTCTGCTTGTACGATTATTAGCACGGCGAATTTTAATCCTTCCTCAACCATTTGTTTCAACGCTGTAACTCGAATAACGAATAAGATTCGATAACGCTGTTAAAAATCACGCGAAGCGTTGGAATAAAATAATTCTATCCGTTCATTTCTCGCGCAACCATCTGCTTTTCTTCATATATTTTAGCGCAAAAGGTATCCGCGAGTTTATCGAGATCTTCGAGTGTAAATTATCCAGTATCTGCAATTATATTAACGCGATTTTATCCGATTAGTGGAACCGCGTCACCTGCGTATATGACCAGATTCGGCTGGTGTTCCGGGCCATATACGCGGACGCCGCCGTACCCGTATATGGCCAGATTTGCCCGTGGTCGGCCATATACGCGGACGACACGGTGCCCGTTATGGAAACGCAGGATCTACATAGCCAAAGAGCAAAGCGATCCTCTGAACAGAGGATAGCACCCGTGAAGAGCTCTGCTTCTCTCGTTCACGTCGGATCACGCGACGGGAATCTCGGAGCAGGAGAGAAATTCGAAATTTCCATTGCGACGTCCGAGAAACGGTTTCACTGTGTTAATAGAACGATATTTCGAGGTTTCCCTTTCCATCGAAGAGCCACTTTCGGTGCACCCAACGCGAGCTCGGGCACGCAACACGCGCTCGCCCCGTCTATCCGCCAATTAAGGTATCCTAGTTTCGATTTCATATCAGCCATTGCGCGCGTAATCGCCGCGCAGAATTAAAATCACGGTAATCACCGCGGGCCGCTCTCTCGCCGGTGACCACGCGTAATTCATTTCGCGCGTAATTCCATGTAAATCCAGCCGAGTCCAGGCCGATTTCCCAAGCGGCTAGAAACCTTTTCTTGCGTCGATCCTGTCATTAACTTCTGCACTGGCCGAGAGATACGAAATACGACTATGAACTTTCATTGTTGCGTAATCGGCCAGCCGATTTCTTGGCGCTTTTTCCAACCTGTCTGCGGGAATATTCTCGTATATCTCGTTTTATCCGCTGAAATGCTAACCGGACTGAGGCCCGCGCGAATATTCACCGTGTGGCGTGTTGGGATTTTTCCAAAGGAGTCTCGTTACACCTGTTCCCTGCCTCGGAAACAGCCTTAACGGAAGGTCGGGGAATGATCGATTTCTTCGAACGGCCTCGAGAGACAGGACAAAACTTAATCGCGCGAGGGTTACACGATTCAGGCAGGGGAAAAATGCTAAAATATACGCGCGCCCTGCTTTTGAAAGCGCGACCGAACGCAGTTTTCACTGCGAATTTCCCTTCCTAGCTCGGCTAGCTGGCTAAAATCGAAAGTACGCCACGTAAGACGTCGCGTTTCGACGTTTCCCTCGTTTCCCTCGTTCCATCTTCCTTCCGCCGCCTCCAGCTCGCTCTTTTCGCCGCGGAATTACAGAAGCGCACGCGTCGCTTGTTTATCGACGCGTCCAGGGCAGACGCGATTAGCCGCGTGCTAGGCGGCCTGCATTCCGCTGCATTCCGCTCGGCGAAAGCCGCCACTCGTTCCTGACACGATTTCGCGTGGAAATCATCGATCGAGGCTGCCACCCACCCCCTCCAGCCTGCTGCGAAAAATTCCGCGCGATCGCACGTGCGAGTAGTACAGTCTCCGGAGATTCGAGTTTCCTCCAAGGGACTCGAGGACTGCCGAGATATATGGGGGTGTAAAGGGCGCGGAGTCGAGGGTAATGGAAGCGCGGAAATGGAGAGACAGGGGATGAAATTCGGGGGGTGAATCGAGATGTTGGGAAGTTTGAATATTTGTATCTATTTGCCGGGAGGGCGAGGAGGGTGAGCAGGGCGAAAAACGGATAAACGAGAAATGGCGAATAGAGGGATGACTGTGAGGAGGAATGGAGCAGAGGGAACAATGGAGCGTGGTAATAGCGGAGAACAATCTTCTTTTTCCCTCGCAGGTCATATCCATCAAGCCGGGTCTCCTGAGGGACTTCTGTACGCCCCAGAATCTGGCGACTTGGCTACCTCTGGTAAAGGACACCCTCTTGCCGGTGTTCCTCGCGCTCTTCGACAAAATGTTCTGCCGCTACGTGGCGAAGGTGTACACGAAGCAGGATCACGCGAGGAGATTGTCTCACGGTAGGTGGATCTAGGATTCCTGTTTCATTTCGTTCTTTCTCGACGTTTCTTCGACCAGGAAGGCACCTATCTCGATAAAAATCTTTATTCCACATTTTCGACTCGGTTTTGTACCCCGGAATCGCACCCTTACCGATCGTTCCCGATTTCGCGAACGAACGAGCGTTTATCCGCTCGTAACGAACCGTAAATTATTTTTACAACGTTATCATCGTACTTCGGGGTGAAAACGTGCAACGTGGACCGTTAATGGGATGGCACGTGCAACGCGTAATAGCCAAGGAGAAATATCAGTTACGCGACAATCTCGCAATCGCGGTAACCGCATACCGCGCGGTTAATTTCTCTTTTACTCGCGCCATTTATCCGTTTCCCTTTTGTTCCACCCTGGTGTTGCTAGAAAGTAACGTTTCGATCATCGATCGTTCGGCACCGATGTTTCAGCCACGAATGATTTATTAGATGCACGCAGCTAGTTTCACTGGCGTGCTCCATTTTGCCGTGCTAATAGATCGGGGAATTTTCGCAACGCGAGAGAAATTGCGGCCCGTTTCTACGCGATTTCACGAAAAAATTGCCGCTGCGCTTCCATTTCAGGCGGCATCGACGGCAAGTTTCGTCACTTCGAGCAGGACGCCGAGTATAAGCTGCAGTTGAACCTGAACCACGGTCTGAAGTTCCCCTTGACTAACGGAAGCCTCTACGGCCGGTTGCACAATCATCAGAACAGAGGCGAGTATACTAATTTTTCCATGTTTCCACGCTTCCTTTGCTCCTTCCGTTCTCGCTTCTCCAAATCTCTTCGACACTCGATGTTATCTCGATTGGCAATCGACGCAGTGTGTACATTACGTATCGACGTGTGATTTTTAAATGACGAGTTTCATACGTAAGATAGGCTTGATCCGCTGATCACTTTCGACTCGTTTGACTTCTCCGATTATTTATTTACATTTCCAGTTCTTTAGATTCGCGATGTGTTTACCGGCAGATAAAACGTTTCCAGGAATAGCTGTTACGTAAAAGTAAGGTCATATGGCAACAAAAGTATATTCATCACGAGGGACAGCGGCAAAGTCAAGCGTTGTCAAAGCGGATTAATGTCGTTGCTAATTTCACGAACGATGCAATTTCTGTTCCGCGCGTCTATTAAGGAAAAATATTTTTAATAGGAAGCGAAATGGATATGGAATCTAATTCCCAGTTGCGGTAACTTGTAGTTTAATTTATCTTCGTTTACATCTCGGTACTAATCATTTCAGGTTTTTAAGGTTTAAAAGGAGTTTTGAATTGTAAATATCTTAACGAGCGTGTAAGTCTTGGCCTGGCATGCTTTTCCAAGCATAAATCTTCGCAAAACGATGCCAATTACCAAGTCTCGCCACGTGGAGGTGGCTACGCACCGAGACCCTGGCCCGTGGGCCCAAAATCGACCATCTTCCTTTGCATATGTCGAGCTGCTCGAGCTGTTGCCAACGAGAATACAGAGTACCGAATCAACTTGGCCCGTGGACCCACGTCGGGACAGATGAACCACGAAATCTCTGCAAAGGATCCACGCGAGAGAGTCGTTCGCGCGAATGGAACTGTGACCAAACTGGCGATCTAGTGAACGATTAAAAATCTTCGTTTCGAATAACTAACTATTACCGAATTACTGTTAAGTAAATGAACGGCGAATCGTATTTGAAATTGTATAATATGGAAAGGTTTGAGCGGAGTGGATAATGGCACAGGATAATGTCCATCCAAATGATCTCGAGATGCAACTCCGCTAATTACCTCTCTAATTCAACGATTCTACTTCAACGATTTATGAACTTTTATTAACGGTAAATTTAATGATTCTCGTATTTTGTATAAACCATAACAAAAATAATTTGCTACGGTATAAGTTTCTCTTATGATGGAAATGCATCTGTGTTAAAGTATACCGATTACCTATTAACGATGGGCGTACGTACGCGTTGAGTAATCGTTGAAATTATCCTGAAAAATTTTAATTGTATCGAGAGCTTGTAATTTCATTCGAGATATGTACTCTGTCTAACGTACCTCCACTCCTATTTATAGAAATGTGCGAAGGTTTCACAAGCATATTGATCTTGCGAACAATGACGATGCTGTTGCAACGCTGAATATTTATTGAAAATTCCTGAATCCTCTGCCGATGTTTCTTGTGCAAGGCTTCATCCTCTAAAGTTCGAATGATCCACGCCACCTCTGTCGGGAGCTTCTTATGCACGGATTTCTAGAGGGGCCGTTTTATTTGCTACTCGGACAAGTAGCTGGCGGTCGGCTCGGGCAACTATCTCTCGACTCGAACACGCTCTGAATTTTTGATCGCGAGCCATCGCGCGACCCGGTTAACACGCGTTAGGAATTTCGTGGGACGATAATCTTCCGCCGATAGAAAGTGCCGGAATGTACCGTTTCCTCGCCAACGATAGCACAAATACCTCGAATTATGGGCCACTGTGCAACTGGCAATCGATACTCTCGGTCACGTTCCGCGGAATTTCTGACTACGCCTTCCTCCTGCCCTTGAAAATCCACCCCTTCGCGTTTTCTCCGCCACCATTCTCCAATTTCGCATCTACGATAGCCTTAATCACGATCGCTGTAATAACGAAAATAATCACGTTGCAGGCAAGACTGGCACTATCACGATGGGAATACAGCACTATCCCAGACCGCAGTCCGTTAACGAGGATAATAATTACGCTTCTCTCCCCGCGGAGCTGTCTTCCTTCACCAGCTCGACTTTCGAGCCGCGACAAGATGCGAACGTAGTCGAAGCCACGAAGAAGAACATCGCGGAGCAGCAGAACAAGCGTCCGAGGCCGAACGAGAATTTTCAGGAACTACCGGGCAGTCGTCGGAAGATCGGCAGTACCGACGTGTTTGGTCAGAACATGGAAAACCTGGTCCAGCTGGATGACCCCTGCAGCAAACGGAAATTCACCAAGAGCCTGGACGAGATTCGAGAGGAACCACCGAGGAGGCACGCGAGGAGCGCACTTGGCTTGGAGAATTTGATCATTGGCTTGGATAACAGTCTCCAGGAGGAACCACGATATCCCAGGATCGCTCTCCGGAGAAACCAGAGCTTCGATCATGCTAGATGCCAATCGTAAGCATGGTCTATCTATTTGTTAGGAGATTGTTAAGTAAGAATGTGACGAATATGTTTGGTGCGAAACGTCTCAGGTACCATCGACCAGGGCTCGACTCTAGGACGTACGACTCGAAGAAGCAGGATCAGAGGAAGGAGCAAGAGAACACGCAAAGACAGGAGAGCCAAGAGGAAGTCGATGGTTATGAAACGTCCGACGACGAGAGCTGCGACCTCGAGAACGGAGATTTCGATACTATGAGCTCCTGCAGGAGTCGAAGCAGGAGCTGCTGCTCGGTTACCACCGTGGCTAACGATGATTTCGAATACTTCCAACGTAAGGGAACTAAGGTAACATTCCCAGCACCCTTTCATAGTTCATATACTGCCGCGTAGAGAGCCTCGAGCGATTTAAACTCGGAATACTAATCGTCCAAGTCTGTTTGAACTTGCACCAAATTCCCATTGCCTTCCTCGTCGTACACCATCGCCACAGCCTCCCATTCCTCGCACGAAACTCCGCAACAGACCTAGCTGATACGTACTTCGCAATCACAGCCCGCAACAATCTCCGTCTTACCTATACACGCTGATCAAGAAAGGCGCGAAGACCATTGGAATTACTTCATCCAGCACATGATTGGCCTTTCGTCGGCGAGCAATTGCGTAACCGAGGATCGTGAGAACGTGCTGTTTTACAGGTGGAGCTGCTGCCCTCGAAGAGAGCTGGCGAGGTAAAGGTCAACATGCGATCTTTCACGCCGAGGATCATCGAGAACGGGACAGAAGAGAGGAGGAGCAATCTGGTAGACACGAAGCCGAGTATACAGTCGTACCATTTGAAGAAGACGAGAATAGGGCCCGGTTACTCGATGAACGATCTCGACAAGCTGACCATGGATCGGAAACTGCCAAATCTGTCGATCGAGAGCCTGAAGAGCACCCTGAAGAACTCGGACGTCAGTTACCTGGACAACGGGGACATCTGCAGGCACGACATTGGCGGCTCCGCGCCCGATTTTAAAAAGATTTTCGTTACCGAATTTATATGATGTCCTCGGGAGTAGAATTCTTTTGAAAGTTCTCTGGAAAAGATAGTCGTTTTAACGTCGAGAGTGATCTCCGACGAGAGGAGAAATTAGGACGGGAAGACAATGGGGTGTGGAGACTGGTATGGGAGGATTGTACAAAGTGTTCATTGTAATATAAGCAAATATTTTCTCTTAAGAAACTAGGGTGTATCTTGTATAGGTAGAGAGCGAGTCAATTCTGAGGCGACAGACAGGAGTTTACGAAAGCAATGAAAAGACTGTACGAAGTGTTCTTTCGAAATAAAACGTAATTGCTCGTAGAAAAATTAGGACCGATGTTGCATTAGACGCGTTTCAGCTTACGCGTGGACGAATCGATTTTGTAAAACGTAGGCGCAAGATTTTCTCGTACGAGCGACTCGTTAAGACTGTGCGAAACGTTTCTTCTTCGAAGAAAGCACGGATCGATCCTCGTGGAGAAATCGCGAGGTAATCTGCTGCAGTTCCTCTATGTCTGAGATCTAGAAAATTATATAACAGCTACGCGGAAGCAGACGGATTGGAAAGTTCGTAAGAATGCAGCCAATCCGGTTAAAGAAGTTAATTAATTCAATTGTCGGCTTTTCGTTTTCTCATTTGATAGCGATCGGTTTATCGGGGTAACTCGATCAAGGTGCTAAGTGCTCTCATAATCGCCGACAGCTTAACTATGGCGAGTTAGAATTCGATTAAGAAATGCATGGAAACGTAGGATACGAGAAAACGGGCGGATAATAAAATTCAGAAAAGGGAAAAACTGGTTGGAAACGGTGATTCTGCGTTTTTAATCGAACGATACATCGCGTTATGTCATCTGCCTATAAATCACGATCGGTTGACGTAATAAGTTATGGGTCTGGAATCGAAATTGCAACGAGGCTGAGTTATGATCCGCGTAGGTACGAGACGAGGTCTAAACAGGAATGCGAATGGTGTAGAGTATGTGTAAAATATGTGCTCCCATTGTTTTCACAATCCCGTATTGGCTGTTCGTTATGCAAGTGAGACATTTTGGAGAATCTATTCACGCCTCCGATTATTGTATGGAGATCGTTTTGTATATATCTTGTACATTTGTACGGTACTATTTAATTCATTAAATATACATGCGTGCGTGGCAACACGTGTGATCGCAGGTGCGTCCATCCTGTTCAATTCCCTGGCGGTCGATACAGAGAATAATCAGCGAGGACAGAGGAGAGATAATAAATCACACGTGGGACGAAAATTTCTATAATTTATTCATCTAGTTCCGTGTAAAGGAAAAAATTCGTGTCTACGCTACGATTTCTCTTCTCTCGATAGAAAGAAGAAATAGAAATAGAGCTTCTCTATAATTGGCGAAGGTACTTGGAAAAGTGTGTAGAGACGCGATAAAATCTTAATCTTCGAGAAGATAAATATTTTTTGCGGCTTCGACTGAAGATCGCGGTCGAAGATGATCGTAAAATTCTCTCTCGGCTACCTGACTGCAATTATGACTGTATCACGTGTATCGAGTATAGGTATATTTTCGTTGTTTTTCTCCAGCGAACAGGGGCTCGCGCATTATCGAACGCGAGCTTGTTGCAGAGATTACACGCCCTCCGACAGGCCCTAATCGTCGCTTAATTATCTAATTAAAGTGTATACTGCGTTTTATTACGCTCACGTTGACTAGCAATACAGGGTTTGGCATCGTTAATCGTATCTCTAATTATGCTGCTCAGTGGCGTAGAAACTGGTTGTCCATTCGATTGGAGGAGGAAAAAATGCACGGGTATCGATTCGAGCTGAGATCACGTTCGAGCAGAGAGGGATTAATCGATTCTCCTCGTTTCGACGTCGAATGGGACGAGAAAAACTCGGGCATATACGAATTCGTCGCGGAGAGACCACGGACTCTCCTCTCCTCTCCGGTTCTCGAATCTTAATTAACGAGGCGTTAAAAATAATTCTCGCGGCGGGTAATCGATCAACTCGTTGCCTCGTGACTCGTAATTGCTCGTACGCTATGACGAAGAAGACGGAAATTTACTATCTGCACGGCGAACGCGATTGAATGGCACTGTGGCAACGAGTCGAGGGGCTCCAGAGGTTTGGACGGTTCTACGCCACTGTATAAATAGAAATCCGCTCGCTTTGGTAGAAACAATTGCAACGTTGATCCACGCCGTTGATCCCGAGATCAGTGGCTCGCGTAGACGAGATCATTTCCGCGAAAGATTGCCTCGATCATCGACTTCCGGTTGAACTTTCCTCCCCTGGACTCGACGATCGCCACCAGTTGCTGATATCGCTTCCACGCGGTCACCGAGGCCGCTTCCCCTTCCGGTATATTCTTAATCTTGCGATACACGTCCGTGCTCCTGACCGCAGCCTCGGAAGTCTGACAAACGCTTTCCGAATCCGGTATCATCTGAAATTTCACGTGAAATATTTTTCAAGCGAAACGCTGCGTCGGCCGGGGAATCGTGGAAAGGACGTCTCTGAAAAGCGTCCCGAGCGCTAACGAGAAAGAAGCATATAAAGAAGTATATCCCGTGATTACTCTGCTCTGAAAGTACACCGTTCCCTCGCCTGGTCTTTTGTCCTCGCTTAAGGTTTCGTCTTTCAAAGAGTCCCTTCTCTCGAACCATTTTAAAAGCTCGTTGCTTTCATTTGCTAAATCGCGCAAGCTCTCGAGCTTCGCGGACATTGTCCCGTTGCCAGAAAGGGAATATAAATCACCAGCCTCTGCTCCGATTAAAATTCGCTTTCACCCTTCAAACGCGATCCAATCGCATCGTCGCTAATCGAGAACAGGCTTAAGGAAAAATCCGTGCTATTTTCTCCGACAGCTTTTCCCCTCCGTGCCATCTTTACGAGGGACGAGTTTCTCGGAAACACGCGACTTTCTCTGCCAGCGAATTAATCCCAACAAATGCCCACGCTGTTATCCCGATCGTTCGCCTAATTATCGGCAATTTTCCCGGCTGCTGTAATTTGCCCGACACGGTGGAAAAGCGGTCGGTTTAATCACGGCCCTGGATCTCTCGTCGTTTGCTCGGGTTGACCGATGTTTGTAGGACGCCGTGTATACACATGTAACACAAGCCTAAAGCCAGCCCCTCGAAATCAATACTCGGCATTACACTGTTACTAAGGATTCCCATCCCCATCCCCATCGCCAGATTCACCCCCGTGTGCCAGCCACTGGCGAGGTTCAATGGCCAAAATACGGGCCTTGGAGCAGAGCGTTACACTTTGGAAACGAGCCGCACACATTGGCTTTCCATTGTCTTCCCCTCTCCCCGCTCTCCACCTCTCGTCACGTCTTTTTCCCTTTTTCGCCATTCAAAGCTTTCCAAACGGCTCGACTCGATCGCGCGGAAAAGCGCCGCGAAAGCGAATCGCTTTATCCCGGTTGTTACCGAGGATCGCGACTTTTCAAAAGCGTCCCGACGCCTCCCGACGATGCCTGCGATCGTTCGTCTCGCGCGCGACGCTGGACCGTGGAAACGACCAGGGCCACGGTGGTATCCGTTTTCCCTGAATTTTCCTCCGCGACTTTGTCTCCGCGAGATCGAATGGTGGGAGGAAATGGGAATAGTTTGATAGCCTGGAAGTCGCGATTTTATGCTGGAAATATTGTCGGAGTTTCTACCCGCTCGTCAATAAGAGGGAACAATAATTCCGATGAGCTCGTAGCCGGGGAATTGCTACTTTTATGGCCGCGAAGAAGTTAAACTATCCTCTCTTCTATTTTCCTCGGAGAAGTTTTAAGCACGGCTATGCGAAGTTTTGAAAGACTCTGGCAGGTACTTGGACTTTTTCCGCTTCCGTTCCGAGCCGCGATAAACATTTATCTTCTTCGAAAATTCGCCAACACGGACGTACCAAGTTGGCCAGCCAGGAAACTCGTATTCCAGACTGCCACGAGGTATCCGGGAACGTGGACGAATTTATAAAGAAATTAAACACGGACGTTTTAAATTGCTCGAGGTTCCAAGATCGTCCAAGACACTTCTAATCGCGCTGTCGAGAGTGAAAGACCTGGCTAAACCGACTAACGACTGGCAATTGAGCTTTGAACTGTGCCGACCGCGTCGGAAGCATCCTTATCTTTAATAACGACAGTGGAAACTTTGGGAACGGAAATTGGTCGGCCGGATTTAATCGAGAGCCTAATACAGCGGAGCAATTTCTGAACTTGGCGCGAAAATCCGTGCTAACGTTAATTAAATCGCCAAGTTGGACTCGTAAATCTGCGATCAAAGGCTACACTCGTGGAACCCACCTCGATTACAAGCGTCCCTCGGCTCTCCGTCCCTTGTTCTCGTGGATCCAGCGGTGGAACGGGTTAAGGCCGCTTCTCACGGTGCTCCGTGGCGGAATTTCTGGTGGAATTTCTGATGGAAACCGGAGATGGCACGACGGAGCGCCGCGAAAGCGGATTCGGAGCACAGCACGGTCCAAGAGTAACTGAAGAAGGCCAACAAACGGCGACCATCAGCTGGTTTCCCGATTACTCTGCCCCCTCCTCGGCCATGGGGAACCCACATGTGCCGGCCATATGGGGGGGAAAAGTTAGTGGTGGGCTCGGGAGACAACCGTGGAGCCCACCTCTTTCGTTTGCACCCTCGGCTCTCCCTCGAGTCGAGGGTTAGCTTCCGGTCTTTGCTCGCGTGCCAACGATTTTTAAACCTCCGACGCCACCGTTCGCTCTCTCCCCTGTCCCAAGGACCCCTGCTCACTCGCTGATGTCACCTTTCCGTCCGACACGCCGAACACGTCGCCGTTCCTGTCCTTGGAATTCGATCAAACGCGATTAATTCCGCCGAATCCAATCCCCCGACGCTTGTCGCGCGTGATTAATTCCCGAACGTGTCCCGAATTTAACCCGTTTGCATCACAGTCGCGGAATCACCCGACGATTATGGCATGCTGGAGCGAGGCCGCGAAGTTCCAGCGCCGACTGATCGATCCCGGCCCGATGATTGATGGTAATTTTTCACTCGGATCGGCGCCCGGTCGTTACGCAACGAGGCAAACGCTGGTTTCGGGGGGGTCCGCGAGAGAGCAACCTCTCGCACAGGTGGCTCCTGTTTGCTTAAACCTCGCGTCCACTGTGCTGCTTGGTTAGTATCGTTACGGCGAATATCCTCTAATTAAACTGTCTGTAGACCTCGTTGTTCCTGCGTCTGCATCGTGGACGCGCGTTCGCGTAGTTATGCAAGCGAGTTATCGGCAAATCGACGTTAATTGCCATCTGGTTTAACCTAGTAACGAGGCGAGCAATACTTGGAACTGCGAGTGCCGTTACTCCGTTTACGTCTTTCCCCCGTTCCAAATGTCAAGATCATCTCGTGGATATTCGGTGGCCTGGCTCTTAATCGAATCTCGATTAACCACCGAAAATCGAGAAAATCGAATAGGTGATTAAAGGTAGTCTCGAGGTGGTTGCTCGAAGGTAACGGAAATTTTTCCATTTCGCCTTCTAGCTTTTCGTTCTAGCTTCGCGTTGTGGCAAGAGCGAGCGGAGACTGCGTCGAGGCCGGGTCCGTTTAGCGCGATCCGTCTGCATTCCACGTTGTCCACGATATTGTCATGGGGACTCCTGACAGACCATTGTGGAACGCCGGGGGAATCGAGTAAATTGGCTGAATTGCCACGTCCGAGAATCGTAGCACGTCGATGCAGACGCGAGATAGAATCACTCGAATTACAGCATAGAATAGTTTGGACAGGGACGACTGGTCGTTTCCATGCACAATATGCCCGGATCTTCCGGCAGCCCTGTTTCTCAGCGTGTTTCGACGGCAATTAATTGCCTCGACTTCTTTAAACCGAATCCAGGTGACAGAGATCGACGAGAATTTACAACGGAGTCTTTTACGACGTGTCCGATATCGATCCGACTTTATAGGAAGTGAACGCAGGCGACTGTTGCACGCTCGAAATCTCCCGATTCGATTTTCAGATCCCTTTTCCGAGGCTAATAGTCGGAGTACGTACCCTCGTTTCGCTTTGCATCGAACGCGAGGCCGATTTCCTCGGCAGCTCGAGGAAAGAGGACAAGTTGGAAGGCGTCGGGACACAAAACGCGATGTGTATGTCGGCAATAAAAGTCTCGCGGCTGAGACTATGCAAGTGAAAAGTTTCGTACGACAGATGGTTGCAGCATGTGCAACGAGTCGCGAGATATTAAAAAAAGGTGAACATTCCCATCGGTGTGATGGAAACCTCGGCATAAATTTACGCGTAACGCCGAAAAATCGAATTAACCAGCGGTCACGATAAATTCCTGTAGGTCTACCTCTATTCGCACAATTTCCCCGTGATGAGTTGAACTAATTCGCGCAAGAGAGGTTTATTTCCACGTTTATTTATTTAACGTCGCGAGGAGCGATGGTAGGATAATCGGGCAGGGGCAGAAAATTGATTTCGCTGGAAATCATCGAATCCCCAGCTGCGCCTATTCTTTAATGGCCAATCGGCGCGTGCAGCATAAAGGCACACGACACCACTCTTCCAGCTGCCGGAAGTATACATCTGCCGGCTCCTAACCGCGCCGTGAAGCTTGGCCCACCTTTCCACCGCAACGCGCCTTTTCCACCATTATTTCTCGATTAATTCGTTCTGCTATTGCTATCACGAGCGTCTACTTTGCTACTGTCTCCGTATCGTGGAACAATCGCGATATTTCAACCCGTCGGCGTCGAAACGCGAAAGGAGGAAGGAAGGAAGGAGGAGGAACTCGTTTGGGAAAATCAGAAACATCTGCCAGGAAACGGTGATCTTTGATTAGGGCCGGGCTCGTGCCGAACACCTTGGCTGCTCGATCGTTGGCCCGTGGAGTTTTGAACGGTGAAAGGGAACGATATTTCCAGACAAAGGGTCCCTCGAGTTCCACGACACCTAACTTACGCGAAAAGGAAGGAAAAGTCCCGAAGATAGATCATCATCGCGATTACACGCGTCGTGGACGAGACTCGACGCAAAACCGCGATAATTAGCTTCATGTACTCGCGGGTACCGAGCTGGTAATGGATGCAGCCCGATATCGACAAAGTTGCTCTCGAATTGATCCTGACGAGAGTGTCCGTAACCGGTTCCCGAGTTTAATTAGCGCATTACAGGGGTAGTCGCATCGGCCGATCAGCCTTCGATCTTCGAGCAAACTTCCTTACTCAGGCCTGACGGAATAAAGATTTATCTCCGGCTAACTGCGCCGAGCTTATATACTCCATTTCGTACTCACCGTGTTTACCTTGTTGCAGGGCTGCAGCCGCCGAAGGGAGCATCCTCGTCGCACCGCGCGAGATAAATGAACGCAATTGTCCATTTCGAGGCGAGGAACGGGGTGCATCCTAAACAGACAGCTCTCGTCCACGCGAGGAGGACTTCCATGAGCTCCACCTGTGAAACGGTACGTACAGGGTGTGCGGAAATCACGTCGTCACCTCCGCGGCGCGAATATCCGTTGGAAACTCTCTGCACTCGAGGGTCGCCATTTTCTTTCCAATGTAGCTTAAACGACGAATAGGAGACTATGGTTGAAAGTATTTCCTCGTTGCGAAGTCTCGTGTCTTCGTCGAATTCGGCGTTGTTTGAATTTCGTAGACCAACTCGATGCATGTATCGAGCGAAATATCGGCCACCCGATATATTTCCGCGCGATCGGTCAACGTATACTCGTACACGAAAGTATTCGATAAACAAACGCGATAGGGAGAATAAATCTGACGCCCAAGATTGTATCGGTGAAATTAGAAATTTGTTCAACGACGTATAACCTATTTGCGATGCAATTATCGGAGATGTGGACCGCGGTGGCGCTAGTGAGTTAAATGGAAGATCGTCCTAAGGCATATAAGTCATACGTCGCTGCATACTTGCGATAAATGTATCGTAAATACTGTACATACGGTTGGATTAATTTCCAATCATTATCGTTCCAAAATATCTCGTGTGCGTGTAACGCGGATATATCGATATATCGTTTCGAATACTTTCCTGAACGAGTATATATGTACTGTTCCCTTCGGACGTTTTCTCTTCGTGACGTGGAGCACGATACGATAAAAGAGGAGAATTTTACGACTCCTTTTTTAACTGATCTTCGCCGATATGACGACGTGGAATCACGACTAATAGTCGTGACACATAAATTTCATACCACTGTACAACGTGTATACTGTAATGTACACACTCGATCGTTAAACGACTCATCCGTGAAACCTTTGCCAGCTCGTACCAGAGACAGTGTATATCCAGAAGTATCCGAGGAATCCAGGCACGCGCGTTCCATTTCGCCTACGAGCATCGTGGAACTTTATATTTCCACGTTCCGGGCATCCGCCATCGGCTACTCTACACCGTCGAGAGAGAGAGAGAGAGAGAGAGAGGAGAAACGCGATGTTGGGAGAAAACAAACGAAGGAATCTTGGTCGCACGAATATTCCTGTCTCGAATTTTCCGATCGACCTAGCCCGGGGAATTCGGTCGCGGATCGGCAGAAACGGGTCTGCTCAACCCTTTCCCGAGTTCTCACCCCCGCAGCTGACGAGCACGGGGCTACCACGGGGATACCACCTGACGGTTCGGCCAGGAACAGCTGTTCCCTCCCCTTCCGGCCACCCCTGCCTGCCGACCAGGCCTGCACCGCAGCCAGTCGAAAAAATCGAAACGATTTCGTCTGGAAGAAAATAAAAAAACGAAGGTGGACCGGGCTGAACAGCCGGCAGGATGTTCCCGGGGATGATTAGAGATCGTCAGAGTTAACCGGGAGCGAATTAAGCCCGCGGGAAGCGTGGATCAACGGCCAGCCGCGTGCGAACTCGCTGCTGCGAGCAGAATTTACGGCAGTTTAACCTTTTTCACGGCCAGGTCATCGGGCAAGGTGTCGTTCGCGTCTGCAACGTCCATCGAGAGAGACGGTGGAAAGTTGCCGAGGAGAGTAGTCGAAGATTTTCGATCGAGAATCCAAAGATTTTAATAGCACTCGCTGAAAGGTGCACTTGGAATTGTCCTTTGGAAATTTAAAAATTCGGAATGGGAAATTTGTACTACCATAATGGCTCTAGAACGAAGGAAGAGTCACGTCTAATTAGATAATGTTTAAACAGATCGCTGGAGATTCGATCTTGTCTATATAGGAAATCGACCTGGTTCGTCTACGCGTTTCATTTCCAAGTGAAAATCCGGACGGTACTTGATTAGAATCTGGATCAGAGGAGAGTCGGCGAGGCTGTTCCGATGGGTAATTAGCCGCGGCGAGGATAATCCACGATCGGCGAGAGATCGGCGCGAGGAGACGATTCGGTGACGGTAAGAAAGCGCATAGATTCCCTTGGTAACAGCAGCCCCGACTTATTTTCGCCGAACGAAGACAACAAAAGTACCTCGACGGAGCAGATGCATGGCATGTGCTACGAACCGACACCAGATGCCCCATTGGCGTAGAGATCCCCGAGGCAAGCTGCCACGATAAAGCTGCCCATGGGATTCTTTTCAGCCTGGTCGCGTGCCAGATAGAGCTTCCTATGGGCTCTTCTACAGCCACCGGGACGCTTCCTGGATGCTGTGTCCTCCGGATTCGAATCTCGATGGGTCACACAGGGTCCTCCGCTTCTTCGTTGCGGTCAAGGCTGCGTAGCTCTGGCAGCTGGAACGACGGATAGCCTAGAAAATTGTTTCCCAGCAACGCGAATTCTTCTAGCGAACAGACATGCGTGATACGGTTGAACGGAAAGCGAATAGAGAGGTTTAATTAACTTAGCGTTCGTTTATTTACTGGTCAATGTTATCTACAATGATTTATTGTAAAAGTAACAATAGTCGTGTATAAGTTAAAACGATATATCATACATATGTACAAACGATGAGTCGATCCTGACCCGATCCCGTGGCAACACGTCCATCCTCCGGGCGGAAGCGAAGAATCCATGTTCCCACGGGATCGCCAGTCGCGGCGGAAGATTCTCTCCGATTGTCCGATCGAGTGATTCGCGATCGAGGCGCAACGTCGATCGAAAATCACTCGCGACGATCCGTCATCCGTCAGGACCTCGTCTTCCATCGATCCGACGTCGACGTTGAACACTTGCTCTCGTATACCAGGAACGATATCGTCGACCTCGTGACACGGAGATACTCGGTGAGCCAATTTTTAATCGGTGAACCGCCATTTAGAATCGGTATTAGCTAGCACGCCGGATCCAGATTTTCGTATACGATTTCCTCGAACTGGTCGAACGCTGTGCTGCATCCTCGCGTTTCCCATTCTTCTAGAGTATGCGTCTTTGTGCAAGGTGGACAGGGTTGAGAGTATAGGTGAGGCTTGCGAGTACGATTCAAACGGAGGCACTTGGTAAACGTGAAAAGTGTCGACAGGACGATGTCCAAATGCAGCGCAGCGTTCGAACGATAAGGACGATAAGGTTCGACAGCTCGGAATTATCACGCGCTTACGATAAAATAACCTACGCGATCGTCCTAGGATCTAGTCCCGATTTCAACGGACGTCTCTCCTCGCTCGTCAACCCTCTGACCGACTCCGAGGAAACGATTTCCCGGCAAACCCCGTGGAACTCGTTCACTTCTAGCAGAGATCGATCGAATCGGTCTCGTTAAAATCTGAAAAAATAATCTCGAGGCCGGAGGGTCGAGCAGTGGAGGATGATGCGCGATAAAAATCTACAGCTTTCTCTCTCTGTCGCCTCGCAACGTCTCGTCATCGATTAAGAAACCCTCTGCCGGGGTGTTCGACCCCCGTTCTTCTCGTTCATATCGATCCAGCGTATGAACCCCTCGTATTGACATCGTTTATTGACATTCGTTTCCCGCGGAGTGAATCTAACGTCCAATGGATCGAAAGCGCGCGAGAAGAGAGAATTTGTCCTTAGCCTAACACGATAAGGGATACAATAAATAATGAGTAGCAAAAAAAAAAAAAAGAAAAGGTACGATTACAATAGTACTAACGACGATACATGAAAACGAGTACAAAATCGTGCTACTACGAAAAAGGAGAGATAAAAAAATAAGAAAAATCGGCTCGTCTATTTGCGGAAAATAAAGGAGAAACGAGCATGCTAATTTGGTGATGGAACGCAAACACGTGAATCTGTACGCGCCATTGGATGTTAAGTTCGTCCTCCCTTTGCCGCGTATCATCAATGTAGGAACCTGAAGAACCACGCGGATCGATAGATCCGCGATCAATTTTGTTTCACCTCCTTTTCTCCCAGCCAGAAACGGAAAGTATCGGTGACTGTACAATAGCTAGTAAAAAATGCAATCGTTTCGCCGTCTTGGGATCCGATCGAAAGCCAATCTCCGCTCTTCGCGGAGCCGATGGAGATCTTCGTTCGTCGCGATGATGGACAAACGCGCGCGAAGAGGATCGGACGTTCGCTTCGGACGCGCGACGACGAAACGGAACGACGAGGAAGCGAGTCGCGCGACGTTCTCACGGTAATTGCTCGGCGAGGAAACTCGCGCTGAAAAGACTCGCCCGGAACGAAGCCACAGCCACATCCTCCGGAAGATCTACGGAGAAGTTGGAATCCACTTGGCGAGCACGAAAGCGCGTCGTTTTACTTTACAAACACACGGTGAATGCATTTTAATCCGAATGGCAAGAGATTTCCAGGGATTTCCCGCGTCTCGTCTCTCGAGGGATCTCTGCACGGCGGGAAGATCGCGAAAGGCGCAGGCGATCGGAAAGCGAACGCGGGTTTCGAAGGAACCAGGAGCCATTCGTGGATTCCCGAGAGTGCAATGTCAGAGGTGAACGATTCATCGCCCATTCGGAATCCTCGAAGAGCCGATATTCCCAGCAATTACTCCGTTCGTGAATGGTTGCACGCCTTGCCTGAAAACTACGAGGACGTCGCAAAGAGTGGCCCAAGACTTCCTCGAGACCTCTCGGTTCGCGACACTCGTACCACCGCTTCGAGATTCGCTCGTGAACCCCTGAGAGCGAACAGGAAACACCCTCTCGTTCCCATCCGATTGCTCTCGCTCGCGAGAAGCATCGCTATCGGTGAAAGCCAACCAGGCTTCCGTTGGGGAAAAAAAAGTAGCTGGTCCGATAAAATCGGAGCGACTCGTTTACGTGGTGTACCGAGCGAAGGTCCGTTCCCTCTGCAGCTCCAGATGGTCCTTCATGGCCAGGACCGTGGGATGATGAGGCGGCAGTCCTTCGTCCTCCACGAGATATCTCAGGGCTTCCGTGGCGCAGGCGTCCCAGCCGGCGTTCCAGGACGCTGGAACCTGTTCGACGCTGCTGCCGCCATCCTCTGGCTCCTGGTCCATCCTCAGACGACCGTCCAGACACTGATACGACTCGGAAATCGTGCGTTGCTTGCCGAACGAACGGGACGCCTCCTGTCTCTGGCACTTATCGGACCCGCTGTCGCGATAACAGCTCGTCCCTTTCGGATTTTGCTGCTGAAGGCAACTGTGTTCCAGGTAACTCGTCCCTATCAGCTCCATCCGATCCATGTCGAACGGATCTCTCGTCATCGTTCTACTCGAGCTCTGCCTCTGCTGCGACTGCTTCAGCTCCTTGGCCAGAGAGGCGGCCAGCTGATGCAGCAGCCTGGTGTTCTCCTGTTCCTCCTCCTCGTCCTCCAGCTCGTCCACGTCCAGCTCCACGCCCTCGTCCTCGGAGGAGGACACCAGGTCCTCGTTCTCCTCGTCCACGCCCAACAACGTCAGTAACCTCTCCGCGGCATCTGCGCAGATGGAGCAATGGATTTGTGTGTATGCGTGTACGTACCTCGAATTTCCGCCAAGCACCGGAATTTCTAAAGTCGCTAATCGAGTTAGCCCTCCCTATACGCGTCACGACCACGATCCACGGTGCCGCGAGTTACGCCAGCGAAATTTTCCCCCGTTAACGAACCTCGAATTTACGAAAGCGAGGGAACAAAAGAGCGAGTAAGAGGCAGAGTCTAGGGAGATCTGTGCGAAACTCGTGCACAGACTTTCCCCCGTCGAAGTCGCGGCGAATTTTCGCGAGGAAAGCCGGAGAACTCGATCGGACGGTCGACCGATAATAGCGAGAGAATGAAAGAGGACCGCCGACCGGAATTCGCCTCGAATCCGTGGCCCGGTTTCGCGCTCGCTCCTGTGGGAATCCTGCACCATGAGCCTCCCATGGGAACTACCTGTCGCTACCCACCCCGTCATCCGCTCCTGCGAATCATCGAATTTCGCACGAGCCTTCTCTCTCCTTTCCCGTCTGCTCGCGTTCCTCGCGCTGTGGAACCACCGTGTCCACGCACACGCACACCCTTCTCACCCTTCTGAGAACCCTCGTGCAAGAGACGTCAGGTAAGGGCCAGTTCGCTGCTCGCCTGTTCCTGGGAACCACGCAGCTCCCGTCCACCAGGGGGTGTTTCCTTCAACCATGCCTCACCGTGTTTCACGATATTTCGGCATATTTTGAAATAGGACTAGAGAACAGAGAATACGCTTTGCGTGTATTTCAATCTCGTGTACTTAACCGTACCCCTTTCCGAGTCTGTATTACCGCATTACACCGGTTCTTCGAACAGAATGAGGAATAGAAGATAATAAAGAGAAATTAAAAATTTACCGTCGCGATAAGAAATGAAAAATCGCCTGATTCTTGTATTCAGTCGTTGTTAGGGTAGTACGCGCGTATATTAATTATAATGATTATTTATCCGTAACAAAATACCCGTATACCGAACTACCACGTTGACGATAATAACGAACAGTTCTCTGTTGATAAGTTGCAGGCAAGAATTAGCAAAGCGAAGTTTAGCGCTGGGATCCCTGATATTTAGATAACTGGCGGATGATGGGAGAATGGAGGAAGAGGTTTAGCCGTTGCTATAGATAGTATAAGCATAGGAAGCGTTTGAATTAAGAAGATCGGTAGGAAGTGTAATATAGTTGGGTGAGGGAGATTAAATAACTTCGGAACTGTTACTTTCCGGGGAGAGGAGGCGCGGGGCGAGGAAAGTCTGTTCTTGTTATGAATTATGTAACAACGTGTCGGGACTGGGAGTACAGTTGCGAGGCAGAATTCCCGTCCGTTTAGGGAAATGGTGTTTGCGCGGATGTATCGTGTTTTCCTCAGCACAGGAGGATGTTGCTTTTGATAAATGCGACAGCGGGTTCGTCAGAATGCGGAGCAAAACTCGAAGAGGATCGGCGTCGTATCTGATCCGATCTCGATCATCCGTTTCCCGCGACGTTTCGTGGACAGAAGCAGAACGGGTTCCGATTAAAATCTGCACTCGCGAGGATTGAAAAGAAAATCGGCGAGGAACCGGACCGCGTCCATCTCTCCGCCAGACGATTTTTTCTCCCTGGACCCCTCTTTTTTCCCCGAGAAAAAAGAGCCTCATAGAGTCGCTCGCTTTTTTCCCTTTCATCGACACCAGAACGGAGTCTGGACCAGTGAGAAACGAGTTCATTGTTTTTTCCCTCCGGAGGACAACCCCCTAGGATGTGGACGCCGGACGTTCCCACAGGGATAGCCAGATTTAAATGTCTCCTTTCTATGGCCTCTCCGAGCAGAGGCTGCGTGGATTGAGTTAGGTTAGTCAGCGATTTAAAGGGCTCGAAGGGTGAACGTGTCCATGTCCCACGGATACGATCTATAATGGAAACAAACGCTCCTCGAAAGCGGGAACCCGCGATTTATGCGTGGCGTGCAGGACTCGTGGCCTAATGGCTTTCCTAATACGATCATGCGAATCTTCCGAATTGGATAGAGCGATGGTACGAATAAAAGATCGATGTCGATCGATCAATTTATCCTACCACCGAGACAGAAGAATAGATCACAAGGGAAACTATGGTCCTGCGTAGATGAAATTAGATACAAATTTTAGAAATTCTTCGAATCTTCTGCTCGTCGTACTCGCGTGGCTCGGCACGAAGTACTTGCGAGTAATTTAACTCGTTATCGCAGCCCGGAGGGTGAAAACTCTGAGTACATAGGGTAATTTATTTCACCTCGAAAGGAGTCATAATTCGGTACAAATTTGTGGTACAAATAGAGATATCGAGATAAAGTTATCTTTTCCCCAAAGCAATGCTGTGTTTCTATTCTACGAGTAGACTGGAACGAGTCTGTTATACCTGCAATAAATAAATAACGAAAGAAAAATTTGTTCCCGTCTCTCACATACGAATTCTCTTTCGCAGATGGTGTCGACGAAAAGGAAAAAATTGAAGAAGCTGTAGAAGATGCCTCCATCGCGTCGTTATGGAGTGGAAAAGACGGATGACAGGAAGAAGAAGCAACCCCCGCGCCTTCTGTCAACTTACGGCACCCCGTTCAGCGTCCATCGAGGATCAGGGTTGTCGAGAGAAAGCCTGGATGGGGTTGGAAAAAGCGTTTGCGACGGAAGATCAGCTAGTCGACGAAGACTCGGTTGGCCGCCAGGCAAGAGGGGGTGGCGTTTGGGCGAAATAAAATTTATAGATCGTAAATCGCGCGGAATTCGATCGGTACGCTCTTTCTATTATTCAGCCGGGCCTCGGTGGCGCAGAAATTGCTCGGCTGCTGGAATTTTCGTCGGAAGATTGAAATGCCTACGGTCGTAAGCGGCCCGGGCAACGCTATAAGCGGCCGCTATTAGCATATAAAATTCATATTTCAAAAAGGGGTCAGTGGATCCGCAGAGCCGTAAGCGGAAAGTTATTTTCCCGGTGTGTAGCGGCCTACTCTACCAGGCGTCCCGCCGCTTCGTGATTAATGGTAACGACCGACAAAACTTTAATGAATCTTATAAATGGACTTTGAAACAGTCCCGCGAGCGGAGGAGAAGGAGAGAAAGAGAGGGTGTCGTTATCTGGTGTCCCGATGTTGTCCCGGGAACGGGAGCCGCTTTAATCCTCGCCACCGAGCTTTTAACGAGCCGGGGAAGCGCGATCGAGCCTGCTCGAGATTTATTTCGCTGGTTAGCCGAGCAGGATTAATGGGAAAAAGCTGGGGAACCTGTTAGAACGAGGTGCTCGATCCCCTTTAGGATCTGTATCGGAATTTTGACAAATTAAAATCGCCGACCTCGGTGCGCAGAGATCGATCACCGGGTCCCGATAATCAACCCCTTGACACTGAACTTGACATCACGGTCAAGTGACTGGTAAGCGAAGAAGAAGCAGAACCTTTACAAAAATAGAATAACGGGGGACATGGAGAAAATGACTATACCTAAAATCACAGAGAGGATTGAATATAGACGGTAAAGTTGAATGCGGAATTTTAAATGAAAATTTTAAAAACGGTGACTTAGGCTATGATAGGATTAGCGTCAAGGACTGAATTATTCTGGAAATTCGCGAATTTCTTTCATCGTCTAACTAGTGAAATATTCGATAACGTATCGTGACAGTAACGTAACTAGAGCTTCTACATTGATCGTATTACCCCCTTGTGCTAGGACATAATCGCGAAAAATCGTGGATTACAGAAATATTTCATTGCTGATAAAATCATACGAAAACTTCGGGATTCGTACAAATTTCTTGCACGTTAAAATGCAATGGGTATAATATTAGCACACGCTGCATAATTCGGCACGTGAGGTGGTAGACTCGCCGTTTTAACACAAGGGGTTGAGAAGTAAATTCGCGACCCTTGACTGACTATCGAGTGACAAAAATTTCTAAAATAAAGAAATAGATTTAAAAAACAATACTACCGTAAATACACGATAACCGTGTCATCGTGGACACAGTAATCGATGAGTTAAGGTAAAGGACACAAATTCCCATAAATTTTTATTATCGTCGAAAACTTGCTGGGAAGTGTACGAGGAAATTAGGTCGCCCATGGAGCGGCGAGGATGATCGAGATTCCCAGGCACGTGAAAAGGAAAGAAAAGGTTGGCAGAGAAGGTAGAACCCCTCTCCGCGGGCAGGCAAATAAAAATTTGGGATTTCTGCAGGTATACCTCGAGGAGGGATGGACGAGGCACGGAAAGCAACGGATTCCCGAGGAAACTCGATCGGTCCTGCGGCGAAGGGCCGATCTTCGAGCGCAAGCTCGCGACCTGCAAGCTCGACGTGGTTATTTACGCGACACGGTGGGAACGAAATCGCGTGGACGCTTATAACTTGGCAGAGGATCGAGGATCGTATAAATAAATTCGATTACGAACGAGGAGGAGCTTACTAATAATCGTCCAATGTCGATGGAGAGGCGCAGAAATAGCAGCAAGTGGCCTCATCCACCTGGTAAATCTCTCTGTTAGAAATGCAATTTAACGAGCATACCAGGGAAAATCGCATTCAAATACGCGCTTCGATTTTTCGTTTCAGGCTAAACAGGAAAATTCGCCGGATTTTTCAACGAATACGAATCTCGAGGAACCATGAGTCACGAAATCCGAGGCTGCTGGGAAAAATGCATATCTTTCAGCTCGTTTATTTTTATTTCTTTATTCGATTAAGGTGCAGAATAATTCTCGAAATTTGACCGATGCACAACCAACGGTACATAGGTATAGGTTGTTAAATAATAACTGAGCTGTTGCTTCCTGAGAAGAGGAATTCCGAATATGAAGGATTTTTTGTGGCAAATACGCGAGTCATGTAAGGATGAATCGCATAATCTGACAGAAGGAACAATTGCCGAAGTATTACATATGTGTTGCACAAAAACTTTTCTAACAGAAGCTCTGTTGTGTGACCAATTATAGGTTTACGTTGTTAAATAATGCAGGAGCTGTTACTTTCCGAGAAGAGGAATTCTGAACATCGAGCATCCGAGTTGCATAATTTCTTCGAAGATGCGAGACTTACTAATCACGTACAGGATGAATCACCTAACTGGTCTCGAACTTGGTCTCGAAAACCGGATTATACCGAAGACAATTCGATGAATTTATTTACGAGACGTCGAAATATTATTTATTTAATTTAATTATCCACTATCTATTTCACTCGCATCGATAAAATTCTGCAAATTTTTACAATCTCCACAAATTATGCACGAGTTGAGATACGTTGACCATAATCTCAGTCCTGATGGGACAGCACGAGGATGACATAAGAGGTGAAAAATATATTTGCGATCGAGTTACGCGATTAGGCGTGTATTTCGTCGATTATGGGGCAAATTAGGATGATTTAAATCGTGACACGAATTTTCTCGAGAACCGGGGAAACAACCGGGCGAATTAAAACTGGCGGGAAAAAATGGCGGCAAGGAAGAAAGCTGGCGACCCTGGCGGACCCGGGGAATTATCGATGGAAGAGGATCGGCAAGCGGAACGGTGGAAGCAATTAAAAGCAGCTCGTAAGAATGTAAAAGAAGCAGAGAGACCGCGGTCTCGTGGAGAAATCGAAGTGGAAGAGATCGATACATCGTTCGGGGAGGATCGCGTGACCGAAAGTTGCAGGTCGCCCCGAGGAAGCTACCATTGGAAAGCGAAAGACAGGCCGAGCAGGAGGACCGGGTAATTAGGAGCGATTACCGGACGCGTTCGAGAGGACAGCTCCGAGGGGAAGGCGAGTGCGTTGATTATAAAGTGGTAAACCGAGGGTATACTTTGTCGCGAAGACATCGCGCGATCCCGCAATTACGCGAATCCCGACGATTTCGTCCAGGCCGAAATAATCGCGCGAGAAAATCTGTTCTCTGCCAGAAGAAATTGCCTCGTCCCTTTTCCTCACCCCTTTCAGCCCAGCCGAGAACACGGAAGCTTGCTCGTCTCCTCGCAACCTCGTTGTTATTGCTCCGCACCCCTTTTGTTCCCACTGGATCGCGGAAACCGATCGCTCTTCGATTTTTTCCTCCTTTTTCAATCCCAGAGATACGTACCTAGTACACGCTCGTTTAATCTCGGTTATTCCCCGGCTCGGCGAAATCGGTAATTGTCCAAATTAGGGGATGCTTCGCCGATTTTCACGGTATCCAGATACGTATCGAAGACAGAAACCGAGAAACCAGTTGCGAATTTTTGTATACTTTTTGTCCACCGAGATAAGATAGCAGGGTGTGCGTAATTTATTATCGTTTATATTGATGTATAGGATGTCCATACTTGGTCCAGGTTTTTATTTTGGTACGAGTATCTCGGGAGATAAAGAATACACGAAAGTTCCGCGATTTTTATCGTCGAGCGTGCGACCAAAAAATTGTGAATTTCGCTACACTGATTTCTCTCTACGTCTATGTATTTGCGGTAGTCTATGAACCATTGAGTGATGGAAAATACCTGCTGTATTCGTAAATAAATGATCGTGAATTGCAATGGAACGTCGATTGCGCGAATTTTGATTGTACAGAGGAATCATCCGAATTATCCGCGTGTATTAACTAGGATAGGTAGAATATCGAACTTGTGCATTTAATACGAAAATATATAGATCTAATTTTTGACAGATTTGTCTCTCAAGTAATTCGGATAATCGACGACTCGCTGTAATTTCAATGATTCTGAATTTCGGGTACCTAGGCAGACCTACCCTTATTTAATACACTCGCATAAATGCTCGACACTCTAAAATCTGACAGGACTTTCGGAAGCTTCGAATCACAATCGAGACGATTCGAATCTTCGTAATTCTAAAAGCTTCTAATACAGTAAAAAATTATGCGAATCAGAGTCTCCGGGGACGTATAGCGCCGGGATGAAGATCGACGAGGTGTCCCTAATTCGGACAATTACTGCGAATCTTCGCGATTCTGCCAATTGCGTGTTTGTCCCAAGATCAACGCGACGAGACGTAATTTCATAACCGTTTCCCTGGAACGTGGCTAGGAAAGAGACTTTTCCTCTTTCCCGGCCATCCTCTATTCGAGGGGCCGACGGGAAAGCTTTGAACGATACGTTTATAACGCGCTACCTGCGAGCGGTCTGAGAAAGCGTGACAAAGAGTCTTCTCGCAGCAGTAAATAATTATTCCGTCTCGGGGACATTAGGGAAGACAGTAATCGCATTTCTGCCAATTTTCCCCGCAGCTGAACGTTTATTTAGCTGAACAATTTTCCAGCGCCACCCCGCGCCCGCCGGCTCCGTTATTCCGCTTCGTTACGCGCAAACCTACTCTCTTAATGCCGTTTCCCACCCCTCCCGACGATCTAATTAACGAGCAAATAAAGTCCGCGAATGCACTGGTTGCACGGGGGTGTAAAACAAGAGGGTGGTTCGGAATAGGAACGGAAACGGGGATATTCCAAGGAGGCGTTTGAATTGCGAGCAACTTGTTCGCGCGCTTTATGAATGCCCCGAGGAATAACGGCGTGACTCGCGAGGAAAAAAGCTCCGTTTTCCTCGGTGATCGTTGCTTCCAGCCCTCGTTAATTAACCCGATTGTCGATATTCCGATTGTTGGAGGAACGGCGCATCTCGCACGATCGCACCCCTAATCGCGACCCCTTGGGAAGCTTGCCCGTTGCAAAGAAAACATCCCGCGACCGGTCGCAGGCTGACGAAGAGGGATGAACGAAAGTTTAATTACCTCGAATCGTAGGGGATGAATCTGCGACGTCGCTGGAGAGATCCACGAGGTCTTCCAGGCCTGCGCAGTCCATCATCGTGTCCTGAAATCAGACGATTCTTCGTACAGCTCCTTGGTGCCAGCGAGGCGAGTAAATACCGGTTGCACCCTCCGTGTAAATAGGGAGATTGCAAGCGGAAAAGGGAAAATTCAGCGCAGGTATCCTCGTCGAACTAGCTCGCAGAGGCGCATCGGTGCATCGAACCGACTCAGGAATGCAAGAAAACCGGCAAGAAGACGAAAATTGGCTACGCGTGGACAAAAAATGCAGTTTGGTTGGGAGTAGGAGGAGAAGAAGGGGGGCGAAGAGTGCATCAAAAAGGGTTAACGAGGTTCCACGAGCTCGTCGGTGATGCCTACCTGCCGGTTCCGATAATTTCCAAAAATTGAAACGTAGAAAAACTCGCGAACCGGTCCGCCAGCGCGGCGGTCTCGTTAACGTGCCACTTTGTAATCGTTGGACGTTCATTACGACTTTCTCCGCGGGAATAACGCTTATTTGCAACAAAATTGCATGACACGCTCCCGCGGCAAACGTTTAATTACCCCCGATTTCCCATAAAATCCTCACTCGCTGTTCGTTAACGCTCGTGGAATCTCTTAAGCTCATCGACGATGATGAAAAGGGCACGAGGGGAGAGGAGGAAATGGCGGCGAACGAATATATGCCTGTAAGGACCTCCAACCGGCTGCGGAAACCGTGAGAAATTAAAGGGTTCGCGTTGGAAAGAGTCGGAAAAAAGTAAGGTCTCCCTTTGTCGTGCATCTTGCACACTTTTTACAATTTTTTCGTATCATACACGCGTTGTTCTCTCGTGAAACGTTCCATTTTTAATAATCCTAAACTGTCAGCTGTCACCCTGTTGTTTCTTTTCCTTGGCAACCGTGTAAATGACGCAGAATTCAAATATTGCCTAAATTTCGGGACACCTTATATAATAGTCGCTACGAGGATGATTCGACATGCGAAGGAAATTAAAATGAAAACAAAAAAAATGGAGATGATGCATAAATCGGGACCATACTCGTAGATTTTGACGAAATTTGAAATTTTTAAGCGTCAGCAAAATTGTTTGTCTCGTGGATAAACTATATTTCCACCGGTGAATTAAACACTCTAGATTCGAACAAAGTTCTAGCAAAATCGAACACCTCGAGTTCCGTTTCCTGACTCGAAAGCTCGCAAAGCTCGTGCTTTTCGGCGACCATTTCGCTACCGAGTGGCCGGTTTATGGCCGACCTTGGTCGCCCGTAAATTCGGGAAATTTATTGCGAGCGCCGAGGGTGCGTGCACCCAGTGACCCAGAGACACAGGGCAATAAACGCGAAAAGCACCGGTGGTTGTGGGTTATTGTGCCGTGTCTCGTCGTTCTTTTTTCCGTGCCGATCGCCCTGGCCGATTTTCCCACTTTCTCCGACGGAAAAACTACCGTCACCCAGGGAATTTCGTCAAAATTATTACCGACCACTTTAGCACCCCGGATAATCATCCTGCCTATGAGAAAACCGGTAATTCTGTAACCGAAAGGATGGAGGGATCGTTCTCAGCCGATCCGAAATCGCGAAACTTGGCGAACTTCGCACGGAGCGTTCGCGTGCGTTTTAATCGATCGGCCGACGTGATTTCGGGGGTACGAAGTAGCCCGAGGTATGCAAATCGCGGTATGCAAATGCGCGAATTTTTAATCGGAATGGCGCGCAACCGAATCGAGTGAAAATGAAAAGGATTCTTGGCGCGAGAGAGAGGAAGAGAGGAGATCGGTAAGAGAAGTACGCGTTGCTCATGCAGGAAACGCGATTTCGGTCGCTGCGAAGTGGCCTGGAATATGTAAATCCATGGCGACGGGGGAACAACTTGCACGGGCCGTTCGGGCTGCAATTAAAGAGGATTGCTGAATTTATGCGCGATTAAACGCGGACGGGAATCGGATCGATCCGCAACACGTAGACGAGCACACCGACACGCACAGGTAGCCGGGACTGCTCGGTTGTATTATAATTCGAAAAAAGAACAGGCTCTTTGAGAATGTCCGGGCCTGGCGAGGGAAGTAAGGCGAAAAAGGGAGAAAAAGGGCGGGAAAGGACGGGGAAAATAGGGAAAAAAGAAAAGGCTGCACGGCGGAGGAATATTTCCACGAGCCTCGAACGAGGGGAGATTATTCGCGGAACGAGGGTAATAAACGCCGATAAAGCAGGCCGAGGATGAAATACAAAATGGTGGGGTGCTGTTTAAGGGGGGCGTTTAAAAAGCGAAAAACTTTCGTTGGTGGCGGAAATTCGCCTCTTCCGGGACGACGAGACGGTTCCCATCGTCGTGGAAACTCATCGCGAGGGTCGTCTTCGCGGAGAACGCGATTCGTTCGATTTCAACCCAGTTTAAGAACAGCTTTGCGGCGAGAGCGTGTTAGGAGATTAATAGCACATCCGCAATATCGATTCGGCGAGTAAATAAAGCTCCTCCGCAAACTGACCCGGTTTTCACTTCGGAGTTAATCGAGGCCTTGACACGAGGGATGCGACTATCAGAAATGCAGTTTCGCGGAAACAAAGCGACGGTGTTTATGGAACAGAGGGTTGTATATACAGCACGCGACGGAATAATAGCACACCCTGTAGTCTTCGCTGTTTCTGGAAACAAATGCCACGTGTGCGTATGTTACACGCGTACTGGTGTAACGCGTCCGGTACTTGATGACACACAGGGATATTAACGCGTTCACTGCCGCGCTATATTTGCATATTGCACAGCAGACCGCAAGAGGGTATTTACGTTATTCTAAAATTGAAATGGAGTTGTCGAATTAGCTGTGACATTCGAAGTTATTTAGTGCAGGATTTTACATAAATCGTGGTATGCACTATGTACATTTACGTAATATACAAAAGAGGGAAAAACAAATGTGCCTGTGATTATGAAAGTGGTCTATGTCACTTATATTTGCTTCTGAAATATTAAAAGCTTCGGCCTTTAAATACGTCATAAATTATAAAATTAATTGCGATAAAGCTACAAACTCAATCTAACGATTCAATTCTTCACTGTTTTGTAGAAAATAAATATATTTCATCGTAATATAAATTAATGCAACACGAAATAAATAATAAAATCGTTCCTCTTAAGTAGATGACTTAAACCACTTTCATATTTATTGGCACAAATGTGAGAGTATATAGTTGTATAGGTCAGTTACAATTCAGACTTCATGGAGAGTCAACGTGTGAACGAGTATCTCGAGAAAGAGTGAACGTAATTAGATATTTTTCATCGACAATTTTCACTCTAATAATAATATTGCTAAATAAATATTTAATCTTTGTCACAATCTTGAGAATGTTCAATACACGTTTCTTCGGTTAGCCGCTCGCAAACTTGGCTCTCCCATATCTCGATTTTATCATGACTACGCTTTAGTTTCAACAAGGTCTTTTGTCTCTTGAGGATCGCCGACTTATGTACGATCTTATGTTTACACATAAGGTACTTAATGGCATCATTAACTGGATTAGAGTTTTATTATTGCCTTAATTACAGATTTATTTCGAATATTTATCATGTATATCAATATTTATGATTACCAAGTGCCATGAATATTTATCAATTCCCACGCTGGAGGCAATTTTCGGATGTTGCCATTAGGCCACAATGCTATCGATAACTATTCGGAAGAAATCTCTAGTTAAGAATAATAAAACTTTAATCACAGAGTAGTTATCCTTGTAATGATATATTTTCTTCAACCGGATAACTAAATCTACAAACCTGCAAAGTTTCAGCTAAATCTATGACTCGAAAGACTTGCACTCTCCTTGTCATACCCTCGTTAGGTGTTTTTACGATGGGAAAGAAAGTAATTTTCCCTCGGACGTTCCGCCGCGGGAGGAAATTCGAAGGGACGTCTCGCTCGAAGAAACACGGAAATATACGCCGGTGTGTAGGTATTTACACGGTGGAGACGCGTGTTGCTGGATGGAAAGGCGAATCACGCGAAAGTCGGGTTAGATTTAAATAGCAAGTTGGAGTTAAGTAATTGGCGGTGTCGCGATCGCGCGGAAAACTTTCATCGATTAACGGGACGATCGCGCGGAAGATAAATGGAAATCGTGGCTGGAGCAAAGTGGAAGATCGGCGATAAGAGGCGCACGCGAGGGAAGACGCGATTCTTTCCAGCACGCGTTGAAAATCGCGGCACATCTCGCGGTAAAGCGGCGCGTTTTCGCGATGAAAATGCGAGACAACGGGGCGGAAGCGTAACAAACGGTGGCTCGTTAAATAAAAGTCGGTAACGAGGTGGAAAACGAACGAGGGGGCAGATGGATCAGCCTGGTAGAAAAGCTAATGCGCTAACTAGCTATGACAGTTTCTCCTTTTTACGATGCACGATTAATTATCAGCATCGATTAATCTCCCCTGCGAGGGAAGCTCTTTTTTAATCGTAATCGGAATTTCACCGAGCTTGCAAAGCAAATTGCGAAATGGCGGGCGGGAAAAATCAATCTTGATTTTACCGAGGAAGATTAGTACAGAGAGTTCCAGAATTAAAATACAATTAACACGTTCACTGCCAACTACGAGCTATCTCGCAGGTTGTTTACTTGCCCAGGATGCCTGCTACGAGTTATCTCGTCCCTTAGTTAATTGCCATATTTGTACAGCTACGAGAAAACCCTTAATATAACTGTAGTATAATTCAAAAGGAAAAAGTTTATACAAGTTTATTCATTCAGAATAACACTTTTATGGTTTGTGATTATTTTTAAAACAATCTTGCACTCCAACTACGAGATAATTCGTAACATGTTTTTTTAAAAAAGAAAAACATTTTTTAAGCTTTTTGATTATTACTATGTACTATAAATAATGTTTTTAATAATATAGCATTATAGCATGATTAAATCAAATTGGCTTTAGACCGGAATCGTTAAAAGTTGCGTGGCAGTCAACGTGTTAGAAAAATATCGAAAAATTAAACTTGGAATTTCGCTCATTTTTTTACTTTAATTATAACTCATTTCGTGTCAACACTCTATTACCTGTTTGTTTCT